GGCATTGGCCACCCACCAACAGTCGGCTGTGTTTCATATTAAGAACAGCAGTTTCAATAAACTGGTTGGTCTCGCTGGTCTCTCTCAAGTGGTCTTCTCGATCCATGTGTTTCCTTAGACTCATTCAGAAGATGTGCTCCAGTTTCTGAAACTTACATTCGGCTGGTTTGCTGGTCGTTCTTAAGCCTTCGTCTTTGTCAAGACTTTCGGGGCGTGGTGCTCCTCGATCTCGAACTTCGAGCGGCTTGCTCCGAAACCCTTTCGACTGCTCTGCACCTTCTGAAGTTTCTTGCTTTGGAGCGGTTTTGAACTGCTTCCCAACGTCCCTTTTGGGTAGATTTCTGTAGTCTCTCTCGAGCGCCTTGTTTAGTTTACTGCTGCGGCACTCTTTTCAACTGGTACTCGTTGTCATTGTCAGTCTCGGGCGGTTCCTGAATCTTTCTAGCGTCTTTCGAGCAAGTTGCTCTTGCTCTGTCCCGAGACCTTGAAGTCCCTTCGACTGGTTCGCTCCTCTGTGTCAAGACTCTTCTGCCTGCCAATTTTTCTCTGAAGGTCAAGCAATCGGGCTTCCCCCGCCTGCATGAGTGCCTTCGTTCTTCTGGTGTGGGTGATTGCGGTAATGTTGGAGCTGCCGGTGGGTGTGCTCCTGGCATTGCCTGCTGATGTGGCACCGGTCCCTTGACGCTGCATCAAAGTTGTTGTGTCGAAGTCCTCTCGGCCTGTTGTGCGGGTTGGGGGGGTGATGCTGGCGAGGTGACACGTCTCACCCCAATGTGGCGACCATCGCGAGCTTTTCTAGTAACCACTAAGTCCCACACATCCCTGCACCTTAAACACCTCTCGTCCATGGAGAACCACAGAGGGTTTTGTCGAGGACCCGGCCACTCAGGGCTCCGAGGAGTCCACCACCCGAAGCCGCCGAAGCCGCCTTCCAGTCTCCGGCGTCTTCGCTGCAACGGCTTACGGGTAGCCACTGCCCATGACTGTAGCTAATCCCCCGACAAAGACGCTTTTCCTGATCATGCTTGCAAGAAAACAACCACATGTGTAAGCCGCGACAGGGGGACATGACTTCGCTCAGACAACTGAAAGGAGCACAAGGGCATTTGCACTTCCGCTTGCTTTGGCGAGGCAGAAGAGGCAGGTCATCATCATCATCATCATCATACTCAACAACTTGATCTACATGCATGAACATCATCATTCCTTATATCACCAAGAAGTGAGCTGCAAAAGCCGCACTGCTGCGGCACCTCCGCACTGGGGCCACCTCCGAAGAGTCCACCCTTGGCGCCTTCCGGGTGGTATAGGCGTTGTCTGAAAGTCTGGTGTCACAAACTTTGGCATGGGTCGTGGTTCAATCAAGGGTCTGAAGGGTATTTGGACTTATTGAGCAGATGCATATACTGCGGCTTAGGATGTCTCTCTCTCGTGGGCATGGAGGCTGGATGGAGGCTGGTCAAAGCCTCCGGGCATCAAGCCCACCCGAAGTGCTTTCGGACGGGAGCGTGAACAACGAACACAGACCACCAAGGGCTAGAGCCATGAAGTATACGAAAGCGAAGTAATGGTGGTCGTATGTTCTCCAAGGAAAAGTTCAAGTGCAAGGCGAATATTCCCCCGTTAGTGTTACCGCGAAATTTATAACCTAAAGAATAGCCCTCGCTCTCCCTCTCCCTCTCCCTCTCCCTCTCCCTCTCCCTCTCTCTCTCTCTCTGTCTCTCTCTCTCTGTTTTTTTTCTCTCTCTCTCTCTCTCTCTCTTTCTTTCTGCCGGGCTTAGGGGTGACTGTCGTGACCCTCAGGCTTTCAGGCCGCCCGTCCACCCCCTGTGTTAATGAGTGGACGGCATTGGGGTCCCACTGACCGAGGCAAAGAAAAACAGAATATGCCCTGAGCATCTGAGTAGCCACCCCCCAGCCCCGAACACTAGGCGACCCACAACAGGCCTCATCGCCGCGCCCCTCTGTCTCTCTCGCTCTCTCTCTCTCTCTCTCTCTCTCTCTCTCTCTCTTCTTCAGCTCGGCCAGGAGGGTCAGGCACGAACACCCTCCCCCCCGCGCGAATTCGCGCACCGGGGTTTTCGGGCGGTGAGAAAAGATAAAAACTCCAAGGGAATATGCACCGGCCGACCTGTTCAACCCCCCCTTTACACTAACCCCCAACCCGCCTCGACGGCTACGGCTCAAACACCCCACAGGTCGGAGACAGTGCTTCCTCAAGTGCTGAGCCCAGGGCCACTTACTCTCTCTCTCTCTCTCTTTCGCCAGGGCTATTGCGTAGGGGTGTTACCCACAACGTTACCCCCTACACCGGGCTGAAGCGCCCCCGACTGTTGTGGAGGAAGATTTGGGCTAAATGCAGAGAACGGCTCTCGATCGTGAAAAAGGACCGAGAGCCGACCTCGGCAACTGAGACTGGAATCCGAAAGAAAGGATAACATGCGGTGCTAGACTAGAAAACGCTCAAACAAAAAGACTTGAAGTTGCCGGGTCAGGGTTATTCCCCAATGCACTGTGGTTTGACAACATGCATCCAGATGAGGCTGATTAGGTCGCGCTCAGTAACAGCTGCAGAAAGTAGAACACTGGCTAGCAAAGTTCAGCGTAAATAGTATGGCCGCGTGACCTGTGTTTTAAGGAGACGTCTCCCCTCGAAATGTAGAGGCTGAGCTCACTATCTACATGCTGGCAGCTCGTGATTGGGCTGAGGCACGAGAGCAGGGCACACACATGTACTTCCCCCTGTGACAAGTAGGATAGGCTACTACTTCATCCTCAGCTCCAACCTCTTGGGGCAAGGCTTGTGCAAGAAGGGCTGGCCTACCTTACACACCCACCCGGCACCAGCAAATTTATTGTACTACAACTATATCAATATCAATGAAAGTCATACTTATCCTTTAGCTTGATGCACCTTGGTGGACTCGACCAGAGATTCCAAACCCCAGGTCGTGCACCAGATTACCCCCAATATGTATCAGACCCCAAGATCTGCACCAGGCCACGCCCCAGCCCGTGCACCATAAAATTACTTGTGGATTTGGCCCTATATCTCCAAAACTTGTTTTAAGCATACCAGGACTTTTTCAAGCAAAAGTGATAGTAGTGATAGCAGTCGCCATCATGATCTTTGAGAAGTGTTGCTGCCCTTGCTACCACTAGCTGAAAACTTTTAGCTTCGTGGCTCATATGCCTGTCTTGACTGATATGACATAAGTGACATAACTACTGTGAGTGGGGTGTTCGCTAGCTCGGGATTATGTTTCATTTAATGATATCGATCCCGTTGTTGGCACTACCGACAGGCTCCACCAGTGCTTTGCCTCACTTGCCCATTTCTGGAGTTGCTGGGGTCACTGCTAAATCTGGTCTGGGCAATCCTGTGTCCTACTGCTTTGGCAGCAACACGAAGGGCCTCCAGCGAAAGGGCTGCTACTGCTGCTCCCGCCTTAGCAACTTCACAACGTGAGATGTCTGTTTCAAGCACCAAGCAGTCGGAGTTCTTGTTCTGTTCAGCAGACGCTTGCACGCACCATGCTACCAAGCGCGGCTCATGGCATGAGCTGGCTTTCCGTCAGAAACAAGCTGGATTGCAAGCACAATCAACATCGAGAGCCGGCCATGCTTGCAATGCTAGAATGCGTATCCCTGGCTCTACTACGGCGGCACGAGAGGATCCAAGCTTTCACACTTCAACCCTGAATCCAGTGGCACCCGCTGCGCATCGCCTCCAAAGAGGCCTCCTCCGCTGCCCTGGAGCTGGGCATGGAGGCCTCTGCGAAGGCATAGGACAGTTGAGAATATTCCTGCTCCTTTGCTCGGCAGAACTCAAGCGCACCTTTGCAGTTCTGCCTCATTTTTTTCCTCTGTTGCCTCTATCGTAGCAGTGCGGCCGTCCAAGGCATGCGGTTGTCCCCAGCCGTGTGCATCCACGCATGTCCACTTCTGTCAGTCAAATACGTTTCCTGTATCGCGAAGCTGGTGCTGGAGAGAAGCCAGGCAAAAGTGGTCTCCGGGCTTGAGTGTGTATGATAGTCCGATTTAGTCACGCACTCTCGAGACTTTGATAGCTGTGTCGATGGCGAAACTCATACTTGTTGGTTTGCTTGCCCTAAACTTTGTTTCCAAGACACCCCACATCCGATGCACTGAAAGTGGCTTCCTTGTTCGCCGAGGCATCGACCGCTCAGAAGGCCCCCCCCACCTGCGGAGCCGTGATGTGCGAGGCTGCTAGGTAGTTGGTGCTCGGAAGTGGAGGGAAGTCACGGCATGTCACGGTCATGGATCGGCCAGATAGACCGGCCAGCAACCTGGACTCCCCCTACGGTCAGCTCGCAAAAGCCAGTCTGCCAGCACCATGGAACGCGTGCCTGCCATCTGGCGCCGACAGCTGCCTGAAAGGTAATCAAAGCTTGTGAATCAAGCCTGCGCCCTCTAGACTCTAGACGCACATCGCGTTCGGAAATCTATCGGAAATCCCCAGCTGGCCTCTGGGCAGGAAGGGCAGATGCAGCACGCACGTGCTGCAAACGGCAGCGCGGACGAATGCCCTCTCTTGCCGCCCGTGGTTCTCTGGCCGAATTGTTGAACATAGGTGCCTCTTGTCGGAAAACCTGTGTGGATGGATACGATCCCGAGCCGCCGCCCACCCAGCTTCAGGCAGCCTTTTCTTCGCAAAGCAGGACAGCGCCATGCGAGCAATGCACGAAAACTCCGGTCAAGATGGCTATCGTCAAAACCCTGGAATGGTGGAAACGAGTCAGCAAACTTCGCCAAGAGCTCATGTCTCGTGCACTGCTCGAACACGCCCCTCTGTCCCATGGCTATCTACATCAAGGCTCTGCCCTCCGTCTACTTGTACTAAGAGCTTTTCCAAAAACCTGCCGTCGTGCCTGCGTTTGGACGGAGGGAGAGCACAGGCTGTGTACAATCGGAAGCGACAGCGACGGGGTGGGCTGAATTTAGCCCGTCCCGAATGGGTTCCCCATCCAGCCCCACTTTCAGGCCTCCCCTTCAGACTCGGGAGCGCGTTCACTCGCCGAACCACCTTCCTCCTCATCCTCTTCCTGCCGCTGGCTACGAAAGTGCTTGCAGCATGCCGCTGTTTGCTACGAGTACGTCCCGAGTCCTCGTCCGACTCAGCGGTTCTCCGCGCCTCTCTCCTTTTCTCGACCTCACGCCTCACAGTGCAGGGCACCGTAAGCTCGGGAATCGAGTGAACGCTGCGCGCCTTGCTTGTTTGCCGCGCACTCGACTCTGGATCTTCATCGCTGCCAGCTCTTGTTCGCGGTCTACACCGCGAGAGACACCAGTCGGAGTCTCATCCAGCGGAACCCAGGTTTTCTGCTTCCTCAACTGCACCTCGCGCCTGCGGTGGACGGCACTTGTCGGATCCCAAGTGCTTACACGCTAGAAACGTCGCAAAGCAAAACCAGTGCAAATGATCTGCATGGGGTGGGCATGGGGCCACCATGCCCGGCGGATCCGACTCCGATGATTTGGGAAATTGGCTTCAAGAAATTGGCCGCACCTTGCTTGCTTGCCGCGCACTCGGCTCTGAATCTTCGTGGCTGCCAGCTCTTGCTCATGCGATGGCCCGCCGCCGGGGCCCTGATCGGAAGCCTCCCCATCCTCTGCAAGCGCTTCTGGCTCGGCTTGCCTCTTCTTCTCCACTTCACGCCTGCAAACTTGGGCGTTCAAAGTTGCATGTCGACAACAGCTCCTAGAATTTGTGGGAAGTCATGAAGTCTAGCACTTTGCGAATATCACCTGCGTCCCTAAAGATCTCATGCGTTCCATGTGGGAAGTGTGTGCACAAGTGTGAGGTGCTTGAGCAGGTACGTAAGAAAGTCAGTCAGCAAGCAAGGAAAACAACATAAGTAAGCTGATTATGAAGAGGAGTTCAGAAACGTGATAACACAGTACAAAACATAGTTTGATGATTAAGACATGTGATCAGTGAGGGGGCGGTCTGAAAAACTGCGATCCACCACAGTCGCTGAATGAGTGCTGGTTAAAGAAACTTGATCAACCAAAACAAGTCTGGCGAGACGGCCGTTTCAGACATGTGTGATCAACCGCTTTCGCCACAGCAATGCCGGTTTGAGATCAAGCCGAGCCTACGGCCTAGGAAGACCGACCACCAGGGCCGGAGGAGGGGTCGGGATGCACCGCCAATGTCTGATGACGGGGCGGGGACTTACAAATGTCAGCAATCACCAGGGGACCGTTGAATGCTTGTGTGATCGGCCAACAGCGCGGCCGCTCGATGATCCACTATCATGGCCTCAGGACGAGCAGGGATTAAGAAACGCCTCTTGCCTTCACCGTGTGTTCTTGGCACCAAACCTTGGTGAAGGAAACTGCCGCTTGCCTTCAGCGTTGAAAGCAACGGCCCCTTGCCTTCACCACGTGTTTTTGGCACCAAAACCTTGGTGAAGACAACAGCTGCTTGCATTCACAGTGTGTTTTTGGCACCAAAACCTTGGTGAAGGCAACGGCCGCTTGCCTTCACCGTGTGTTTTTGGCACCAAAACCTTGGTGAAGGCAACGGCCGCTTGCCTTCACCGAAGACAACCTTCACCGTGTGTTTTTGGCACACAAAGGCAACGGCCGCATGCCTTCACCGCGTGTGTTTGGCACCAAAACCTTGGTGAAGGCAACGGCCGCTTGCCTTCACCGCGTGTTTTTGGCAGCAAAACCTTGGTGAAGGCAACGGCCGCTTGCCTTCACCGTGTGTTTTTGGCACCAAAACCTTGGTGAAGGCAACGGCCAATTGCCTTCACCGTGTGTCTATAGCACCAAAACCTTGGTGAAGGCAACGACCGCTTGCCTTCACCGTGTGTTTTTGGCACCAAAACCTTGGCGAGGCAACGGCCGCTTGCCTTCACCGTGTGTTTTTGGCACCAAAACCTTGGTGAAGGAAACGGCCGCTTGCCTTCACCGCGTGTTTTTGGCACCAAAACTTTGGTGAAGGCAACGGCCGCTTGCCTTCACCGTGTGTTCTTCGCAGCAAAACCTTGGTGAAGGCAACAAGCGCATGCCTTCACCGTGCGCTTTTGGCAGGCCACGGCCGCTTGCCTTCACCGTGCGTTTTTGGCACCAAAACCTTGGTGAAGGCAACAGCCGCTTGCCTTCACCGTGTGTTTTTGGCACCAAAACCTTGGTGAAGGCAACGGCCGCTTGCCTTCACCGTGTGTCTATAGCACCAAAACCTTGGTGAAGGCAACGGCCGCTTGCCTTCACCGTGTGTTTTTGGCACCAAAACCTTGGTGAAGGAAACGGCCGCTTGCCTTCACCGCGTCTTTTTGGCACCATAACCTTGGTGAAGGCAGCGGCCGCTTGCCTTCACTGTGTGTTGATGGCACCAGAACCTTGGTGAAGGCAACGGCCGCTTGCCTTCACCGTGTATTTTTGGCACCAAAACCTTGGTGAAGGCAACTGCCGCTTGCATTCACCGCGTGTTTTTGGCACCAAAACCTTGGTGAAGGCAACGGCCGCTTGCCTTCACCGTGTTTTTGGCACCAAGACCTTGGTGAAGGCAACGGCCGCTTGCCTTCACCGCGTGTTTTTGGCACCAAAATCTTGGTGAAGGCAAGGGCCGCTTGCCTTCACCGTGTGTTTTTGGCACCAAAACCTTGGTGAAGGCAACGGCCACTGGCCTTCACCGCCAAAACCGTGGTGAAGGCAACGTTGCCTTCACCGTGTGTTTTGGCACCAAAACCTTGGTGAAAACGGCCGCTCGCCTTCACCGTGTGTTTTTGGCACCAAAACCTTGGTGAAGACAACAGCTGCTTGCCTTCACAGTGTGTTTTTGGCACCAAAACCTTGGTGAAGGCAACGGCCGCTTGCCTTCACTGCGTGTTTTTGGCACCAAAACCTTGGTGAAGGCAGCGGCCGCTTGCCTTCACCGAAGACAACCTTCACCGTGTGTTTTTGGCACACACAGGCAACGGCCGCTTGCCTTCACCGCATGTGTTTGGCACCAAAACCTTGGTGAAGACAACGGCCGCTTGCCTTCACCGTGTGTTTTTGGCACCAAAACCTTGGTGAAGGCAACTTGCCTTCACCGTGTGTTTTTGGCTTGGTGAAGACAACCTTCACCGCGTGTTTTTGGCACACAAAGGCAACGGCCGCTTGCCTTCACCGTGTGTTTTCGGCACCCAAACCTTGGTGAAGGCAACGGCCGCTTGCCTTCACCGTGTGTTTTCGGCACCAAAACCTTGGTGAAGGCAACGGCCGCTTGCCTTCACCATGTGTTTTTGCAGAAGCCCCTGCACGCCCGTTGAGGTGCCCGGCTCAACATCAGCTTATGAGGGGCCTGGTTTAAGAAAAGAATCAACCGCCCAAAGCCACCACTGGCGACTCATGAGAGGGCGGATCTAAGAAATGCGATCAACGGCTTTGAGGTGTCGGCTACAGAAATGGTGAGATCAACCACCATCGCCGAAACGAGCGTCGGTCTTGAAAACTGTGATCAGCTGCCTCCGCTTGATGAGAGGGTGGCCCAAAGTACTCTGCATGATGCACTGCTACTGCCACCAATGTTGTGATCAGCCGCCATCGCCTATTGAAAGGGCGGGGTTCCTGGACGTGCGGTCGACCGCCATCCCCTAACGATAGCAGCTTGAAAAAATTGCTGCGATCAACCGTGATTTGGGGTCGCCCGATGAGGAGGTGGGTTCAAGAAATGTGATCAGCCAACCGCTACTGCTGAGTCAAGGGCTTGAACTTAAAAAATGATCAACTGCATTTGGCTGATGAGGGATAAGTTATGAAAGTGCCATCAATCGCCATCGCCAAATGAGGTGGCGGATTCAGGAAACGGGATCAACTGCCATCGCCACACGAGGAGCCGGCTTTGAAAACGTAGTGCATCACCAGCATCGCCTACTGAGGGTGTGGCCTAGCAGTGCCACATGGTGCACTATGCTGGCCTTGCAAACTGTGTGAGAGGTTGTGCGGTCCAAGAACACTCCACATGATGAACTCGTGGAGGTCGATGGATGTTGTGTCTTTGCATGTGAGATCTGGCGCTTGGGGCTAGGATTGGCAGCGAGGGGTTCTTTCTACACACTAGGCCCAAAACCGACCTCGGCATTTAAGCGAAACTGTACCGGGCTTGATCCGAAACTTCCCGCAGGATGTTTCGAAACCCCGCAACGACACTGGACGCCGAAACTTACCACGAGAACCCTGAAACTAGCAACTTCCATCAGTGTTGGAGCTTGACGAAGCTGGACATGTGCCGATAACAGAGCTACGGGTGGGGATTCGAGGACAATCCGAGGGGAGGCATCACGACCAAAGGAATGAGAACCGCTGCTGTTGACGCGGTGTGTTTAAACAGCAAGATCGAGGGGGTCAGAAGCATAAGAAGGACAAGATCATGCGGGCTAGCTGTTACTTGTAGTCCGAACACAACGGCTGTTGCGGCGCCTCGCTTGCTTGCCACGGATGCGACTCTGAATCTTGGTAGCCGCCAGCTCCTGCTCCCGGTCAAAGCCGCCACTACTCGGGCTTGGATCCATCTCCTCCACATCCTCTGAATCTTGTCTGGCTCTTGCCGCTCGTGCTGCTTGCCGTTTGCCCTCCACCTCACGCCTGCAAAAGACAGCAGCTGCGGCAACAATTTTTCACGGGCACCAACAGCCAATTGTCAGAAAAATGTTGACTTAGCAACGCAACAAATCATACGTTGCAAATAGAGTTCTGGCGCACCTGGCATGCTTGCCACGGATGCGACTCTGAATCTTGGTAGCTGCCAGTTCCTGGTCCCGATCAAATCCACCGCTACTTGGGCTTGGATCCATCTCCTCCACATCCTCTGAATCTTGTCTGGCTCTTGCTGCCCGTGCTGCTTGCCGTTTGCCCTCCACCTCACGCCTGAAAAGACAGCGGGGTGCCGCAAACTTTGAAACATGTTTCTCATGCGCATCCACAGCCAAGTGTCCGAAAAGCGCTGAATTACTACGACTGGAGATCAAACATCACACAATAGAGTTCTGGCGCACCTGGCATGCTTGCCACGGATGCGACTCTGAATCTTGGTAGCCGCCAGTTCCTGCTCCCGGTCAAAGCCGCCACCACTCGGGCTTGGATCCATCTCCTCCACATCCTCTGAATCTTGTCTGGCTCTTGCCGCTCGTGCTGCTTGGCGTTTGCCCTCCACCTCACGCCTGCAACAGACAGCAGCTGCGGCAACACTTGTCACGGGCACCAACAGCCAATTGTCAGACAAATGTTGACTTAGCAGAACAAGAAATGAAACATCGCAAATAGAGTTCCAAATAGAGTTCCGGCGCGCCTGGCATGCTTGCCACGGATGCGACTCTGAATCTTGGTAGCCGCCAGTTCCTGCTCCCGGTCAAAGCCGCCACTACTCGGGCTTGGATCCATCTCCTCCACATCCTCTGAATCTTGTCTGGCTCTTGCTGCCCGTGATGCTTGCCGTTTGCCTTCCACCTCACGCCTGCAGAGGCAGCGGCTTTGATCAGATGTAGTTGACCCAAAACGGCCCAAAATTTGGAAAACACCAAGTGTCTCAGGCGCCTGGCATGCTTGCCACGGACGCGACTCTGAATCTTGGTGGCTGCCAGTTCCTGCTCCGGGTCGAGCTCGGTGAGAGCTTTACCCGACTTTTTGGCTTCTTGGTTCGGCAAGTTTCTGGCGGGCGGCTTCCGCTCCATCTGGCGCCTGCGATTCACGCTTTCTGCGTTCTGCGCCCTTCTGACCCGAGCTCCGAGCCTGGGAGCTTCCGTCTTGGGCCGGGAAGTCTTGGCGGCCGGCCGCGGTGCTGCCTCCAACCTGGCCCGGGCCGCCCGGGCATCGAATACGCCCCCCGCCTCAAGGATTGAAAAGAAGCGCCAGCTCTTGCCGTCCTGCCTGGCCTCAAAGAGACAGCAAAGAAGCCCCAAAATCCCCAAAAGGATTACCGGCGTTTCCGGCGTTTCCGCCCCGCGCCTCGCATCAGGCGGCGCTCGCCGTGGACTCGCTGAGCTGCTGGGGCCGGGGGCCACCTGGGCCTGTGCTCCCTAAAGTCTCTAAACTCTCTCCGAGCGCTTGGCCTTGGCCGCCAAGCTCACATCTTCACATCTTTCACTTCTGCAAGCAAAACATCGTATGCTGAGAGCTGCTCAGCTACCGTATACTTCTCGCACCAGAGAGGGAACGGGGGCGTAACTGTTCTTTCCCGGCTGGCACCTGCTGCGGCTTCGCCTGCCGGCTGGGGGACCTGGAGGCGCCTGGGGCAAAAGGCGCGCGGGCGCAGGCCCTGCTACTCTTCCGGAAGAGATCACCGCATCACATCACGGTGCACTTCGATGACTGCTCTCTAGGAACCGCCTTGAACGAGTTGCACAGGATCGAGGCCTGTGGAGTTGGGAGTTGGGCGAGCCTATCACTTGCCCACCTTCAATGTCGCAAGCGATCCACATGGTAGTATCGACATTGTCTTGAGAAACCTTGAGGTCCTAGATTCCCTGGAATCGTCGGAGATGCACCGAAGACAGAGGATCCGAAACCTTCCGAAGCACCTCTACTCTACAGGTCCGTCTGTGCCAAAGCACGGGCAGGGGAAACGTCACGCCGCGCTGGAGCAGGTGGCGCCCTGCGCACAGAGTTTTTGTCGCATGATTTCGGAGGCAGGATGCGCTTTAAGGAGGATGTGCTGAGAATGCAGGGTGTAGTGAGCTTGAGGCGAAAGAAACACGACGATCATAACATCATGATGCAGACTGACTGCACACCTGGCTCTAGGAGTCAGTGGCAGCGTTGGCGCAGAGCTAGGCTGGCTCCTGCACGAATGCATGCGTAGATGTACCTTGATTCGTCCCTGTGTATTCAATCTACTGCGGTGTGCTGTTTTAAATGGTACAAGTACCTATCTGGGATATGGTCACGCCTACGTCTGTACTTGTGTATAGAAAAGGCTGAACACGTTCCAAAAGGTATCGATCACGGCTCAAACTTGTGAACTAATTATCCTACTGCTTCAAAGATATGCAACTCAAGTCTGGGGTCATAGCGTGGGTCAGTCCTGGCGCTGGCGGCGCGTGGCGAAGGCCGCGGAGCCGGGTCCCTCCTGGCTGATACCACGAGGTGCAATGGATCAGCAGCCATAACGGCGACGCCAGCAACTGTCAGAATCATGAAGATGACAACGATAACTTAAAGCTAATGACCAGCATGGCCAAAGCAAGGCCATGCCCCGAACTCCCAACTCCCACCTGGCCGGGGACTGGGACCGCGTTCCGTAGCCTCTCCACAGCTGTGCCCACTGAAAGGTGTGGTTGTCAGATTCATTACCAAGCCCTTTTCAAGCAGCCATGCCGGTCATGGAGAGCGGGTAAAGAAAGATGAAACCTGTGAAGCAAACTGACATGCCATTGCCGTGCCTGCTCCTGGCGCCTTCGCTTGCGGTGGCTTCTCGGCCTCTGCGAGAGCATCTAAAACTATACTTGGCCCACAACGACAGTCCAATTCGAGATATTCCCAGCTCGAAGTCGCGTTTATCCCGGCCTTTCCGCTGGCCTGGTTCGCAGCGAAGCGGCGGAGCGCTGCAGGGTCTGCATTCCTGGGCTCGGCGATTGACCCTTCTTGTCCGACCTAGGCCTAGATTCCTAGATCTGTCATGGAGATGATGATGATGATGGTGATGATGATGATGATGATGTCACGCAGTTTAACAGGAGGAATGGCAGCAGCACCAAAAAAGCAACAACGCGCAAAGCTTTAATAAGAGCCCTGAAAATTCATATCCTGTCTTATCATCCAACGGTCCTAAAGTCCTTTGGCTCTTTCAATCCCCAGCGGCAGGGCCCGACTGCGCAGGTCCATCAGGGCGGTGCGCAAGTCCCGCAGCTCCTGGAAGCAAATGTAGGAGCTTAGAGCTTACGGGTTTTCAGGGTCCAAGGTTTCGGAACTTTGAGTTGTTTCATCGCCCCTTTTCGGCTCCGGATACAGTTGAACACTATTTTGATTGGAAGATTGAGGCAGGTGTCGACAGCACGTAAGAGCACCGTTTTCCGACCCCGCCCCCAGCAGACTGGAGGGTCAGTATTTGCGCAACACTGCAGCAGCCTGCATTGCCCTGACCCCAAAAGAAGCTCGCTCATCGGCAACATGTGAGCCTACCGAAGTGCCACTCCATACTCTACCTAGCTGCGAGCGTTCTTCACTGCACCACCTCAGTCCGAGGAGTTTGGTGCGGGGCACCAAGGTATGTAAAGCCCGCTAACATACATTTCTGTATCTCCATTGTTAATATGCCTGCATACAGAAATACACAACCAATTACATACATACATACATACATACATACATACAAACATATATGCGTGTGGATGAGGATGACGATGACGGTGATGGAGTTGAGGATAGTGATGATGGTAATGGGTGATGATGGTGCTGTGTTGGAATGCATGCGCATTGGCAGCCTTCCGTGGGTTGAGTGACTGCCGCGAACTGCTCCACGGCATCGCATGCACGGCTAGGTCCTGCTCCAGCTTGAGGCTGGTCTTGTCCCGGATGTCCTCAAGGGCGGAAGGCGGCGCAAGGTGCAAGAAGAAGCTTCAGCATCGCCCATTTTCTGGGTAACACGGACGTTCTGGCGAGAGCATGCGCAAGAGCGGCAAGAAGCACTCGCCCACGAGAATCGGGCAAAGGGGTTGAAAACAAGCGCACAAGCCACTCATCAACTGTCACAGGACACTGAACAGAATTCCACAGGCACCGAAGAAAGAAGGCGATAGCAGAATTCTTGCTCTCGTTAAAGCAGCTTCTCTGCTTCCACCTCGAGAGTCCCTGTGCATGGTCCCAACTGACAATCGATTTCCATGTCCCTGCCGTGGCTCACGATCGTCTCATGAATCTGTTCTTCCAACACCATCCCAGTGAAAGCGACACTATCTCGGCGTCACTAAGTAGAAGATAATGCAAGCCAGCAAAGCAAAGGCGATCGGTCGGAGGCTGCCTGTTGCAAACGCTAGTTCAGAGCAGCAAGCAAGGCGGGCTGAGGGCTGTTAAGCTCAAGTAGAGTCCAGACCACAAACGGTTTTTGTTCTACGTCTATGATAGCACACGCATCATGCGAGATATTGAAAGCAAACACAGCACGCGATGTCTTCCGATCTGTCAAGTTTGCAATCAAACGAAAAGTCTGCACACGAAAAGTCTTTTGAGCAAGAGTGTGTTGGTGCCCACTGGCAGAGGTTGCAGCATGCTCATGCCGAATGCCGGATGTCCTGGAAGAGGGCATCACCTCGCAAGTCATTCGGAGACCATTCGCAGCCACTCAACTCCATGCTGGCCCTCACAGGAACTGGAACCGTCCGTAAACGCTAAACTCCTGCATCGCAAACCCTACTACCCAGTTTAAACCCTCAACCTCAAAGGCCATCAAAAGGGAGCCGTTCCGGAAAGCCAAAGATTGAGCGCAGTGGCAGGGGAGATCCACGGGGCTGTGCACCGACATCGCCTCGAGCCTGACAGACGCTGCAGTTGAGAGAAAGCACAGAGACAGCACAGAGAGGGAGAGCAAAAAAACGACCTCACGTCTTTGATGCCGGGGCTCAAAGCTCTGGGGTCAGGGCTGGTGGAGTTTGGAGTTGGTTGCGGCTCAAGATCTCATAGGAGCTTCTCACTACCCCAGGAAGTGCGCCAGGGCGCAGAGAAGTCTCGGCTCGTTCCGCCAGGCGCTTCTTCATCCTTCAGAGAGCCGAATCGCCAAAAGGATTCTCTGGGCAAAAGAACAAACTTCCGAAGCCCTGCATCCGACGACGCAAAGCCCCGAGAAAGCCAGAGGCAGAGTCTGCTCCTGCGCTGCTCCTGCCGCTGCTCTCGTTCCTGCCTGTCCTGGAGGGCTTCTAAGTTCTCTTTGCACAAGGTCTTTGACACGAAGAAGCCGACGATTCGTGCACAGTGCGGACGTCCTGACCGTAGAGGCGGTCAACCACACGGCCGACCTCTCACGACTCTCGCGACTCTCACGTCTCCCCGTGTGCACGCCGGCCGCCAGCCTTCTCGGCAGCCTCCTCGGCTGGGAGCTTTAGCTTTGGAGGCTTGCGATCTCTCGCTGTCTCTTCCAGCCAGGATGCTGCGGAGTTGTCGAGCTTTCGGTGGAGAGAGTTCCTGAGATCAACGCACGTTGGCATCGGAACTCCTTAATGTTGGGGGCTCCAAACATGCATGCATTCGTCCAGGCTTGTCTGGGCGCCGGCTCACATCTGCTGCACAAATCAAATAGACTCGTCTCTTGACCAATGCTCAAACGCTGATGTGCATGGACACGTGTCTCTGGTCGCAGCCTTCCGCTAGCCTGACCTACCCAGCCCACCCTGCAACCGCTGGCCGAGGGCAGGGGCAGTCAGATGAAAAGTTGCGCCCGAGCTGCACGACAGCTTCGTCTTCCTCGGCCTGGGACTTGAGCTTGGGAGCTGTCACACTATCGCTGTCACGTCGCAGTCCGGGCGTCTGGCCAAATGCTTCGCCCGCAGCTTTTGCAGCTGAACCTGCCGTGGCGGCGCAATCACCAGACCAGACCACAAACCCCAAACAAAAGCAAGCAAGGAAGCACATCGAAGCACACCGCGCCTCGCGCTTCTTGGCGGCAAGAAAAAGTCGCTTGCCCACGGCATCTGGGTCGGCCTCGCCCAAAGTCGTCCAAGAGTTCTATCAATCATGATATCCACAAGCCCAAAAGGCTGTGTGTGCCTGAGCCCCGCGGTGCAGGTTGTTCGAGGACAAATACTGGGCCTCCTCGTCGAGCTTCCTTGGTCCGGAGGATCTCTCAACAAGTCTCAGCAAAAGCTTCATTCTGCTGCTCCGTGCTCCGTGCTCCGTGCGGTGCCGAGAGGCTCCTGCAGCTTCCCGGCCCTCCTCTCCTCGGGAGAGAAGAGCGCGAAAGGCCAAGCATAAAAAAGAGAGGCCCGCGCGGCCCGCGCTGATGGCTCCAAGCGAAGGCTTCAAACGCGAATTTGACGGCAGCCCAGCGTCGTTCCGCTTCCGCTTCCACTGCTCCTGGTCCTGCAGCCACTCCTCAGGGCTCAGGATAGCTCTCGAAGCAGAGCTGCAGGGCGCTCCCATGGTCTCCCTCTGCTCGCCTCGCGGTTCTGCCATGGCTTCTCCGCCGCGTGCAGCTCGGGGCGGAAAGGGTGCAGAAGACGAAACCTGGTCACGACATGCTTCGATCCGGTCCGCGGCACGGGATCACGGCACGCGGGCGCGGGGGCGCGCCCTTGCTGCGGGCAGGAGGCTCCTCTTCGTACTTTTGCTGAAGGTCCTCTCGTGCTTGCCTCTTCTTGGCGACCCCTTCGTGAAGCCGCTTGGAGGCCTCTAAAACAAACAAAGCAACAGAGCAAAAGAGCAAGTGCGCTCACTCTCCATCCTCTCTCCCCGGCCTCGGCGGCGGGGCCCGTCTGGCTCCTCCCATGGGGCTTCGCTGTCTCGCGCTTCGTTTGACCGAAAAGACACACACACACACACACAAGGCTGCTCTCTGCGGGTCCGAGGGGCAGCTCCAGCCTGGCCAAAGGCTCTGGGCTGTGAGCTACAACGGACACAGAGTCAGAGAGGGAGAAAAGAGGGAACTTCATTGCAAAGATGGCAAGAGCGGAAGAAGGGAACCGTGATCAGAACACGATGCATTCTGACCGTCTGACCTTGAACTCAATTTCTCAAGTTTCCTTGCAGTCCCGTGCTCTCAAGCACTCGTGACTGGAGCCTCGGACGGAAGTCAAACTGTTGCTCCTCCTCCCGTGGTGATGATAAGAATCTTGCAGATCCAGGTTGCCGCAGGGACCGACAACTTCCGACAAAGCGCCATGTAAATGCTCTGCATTTCCGCGGCTCGGCAGCTCCTTCTCCTTCTGGCGCGCTTCGGCCAGCCGGATTTTGCGATCCTCGTGTCCTCAGTGAGCTCGGTAAGAAGCCTGCTGGAGCCAAGTTGCTAGTTGCAGCCCCTGAGCAAAAAGAGTCTGATTTTGCAGCCGTGACACTCGCATAGAGCCGGTCGAAGACCTGCGGGAACGAAGCTCGGGGAGGAAGATGACTGACAACAGCGCGAGCATACTGGGCGAACAATCCCCTTAAAAGGCGGAAAGTACGGCATGGCTGTAGGCACCTTAATTGACCTTTCGATGATTGCGCCCTCCCTTTCTCCATGCCTTCTCCTGCTGCAGTGGAAACTCCTTCTGCTCTGTTGGAGTCTCACCTGGTCTCGCCCGTTTCAAGAACTCAACGTCACCCGCTTGTTGATTTCCGAATCTTCGATCGGTGCGAGCATTACTCCGAAGGATTCATGTCGGCATACTGAATATGTTGGTGCATGCTTGTTTCTTCCAGTGGTCCTGCAGCCCTGAACGGATCCTGTAAGGCTGAAGCCCCTACGTGAAACTCCACGTGAGAAATGCAAGCGGCCAAACGCCCTTCGGGTATGCATCGCATGAGGTCTGACTTGCTCCTACTGATCCTCAGACCCTTGATCTTGAGACTGAGCTTGGGAAGAACTCGAAACTGCGACCACGCCATGGAAGTCTTGTGAAGGATCCAACCGATTCGAATCGTGTGATTAACGACAAGGACGTATGCTCTGGAAACGATGAGGGAAAGGACACCTGCCGCGTTCTACGCAGAACCCTAAACCCAGAAACCCCAACCGACTGTGACAGCCATGGCAGCCCAAGCAATGCCAGGCCTTCGCCGCCGCCACGGGGCTTGGGCCGTGGGGAATTCTCCTCAGCGCCCCGGCCGCCTCCTAGACGGCTTGTGGGTTTAGGGGAAGGCTTCTCTTGGTTTGAAGAGGTTGGAGATGTATGCGAGCTTTTCGCAATCGAAGCTTCCCGGCGCAAATGTGCAGGCAGAAGCACAGACGTGCTGTTTTTACGGCGAGACTTCGAGGAGAGGACATGCGAAAGCCTACTCCCACCTCGTTTACTGGCGGCATCCGACTTCGGCTGGCTACCTGGGCCTGCACAGGGCACAGGGCCCTCGGTTGGGGAGCGGTCCCTGGGTATCTGCGAGTAGCCCCAACCATCCCAGACTACAGACCACACCATGCCAGAGAACTTCGCGAGCTCTGGAGGGGTTGCATGCTGGACATCAGCCAACCAACGGTGTATGACCAGAACCTGCCTTCGCGACCCTCGGCCTTCGCAGAAGCCAGGGGCGAGTCCATATCCTGGTTTGCGACCGAAGCCCGGTCTCTGCTTCAGCTTCTCTAGACTTTAGAACTTCATTCGAAGACGGGGCCCTACTGTACTGTGCATGATACCTCGTTTTGGGATGCAGGGATTTCTCCCACACGTGGCTGCCTCCCTGCATCCGTGTATTGCTGACCTAGGACCTAGGCTTTGCCACGGTGCAGTGTGTGCCGGGCAGCAAGTCAGACAGCAATCTGTTCTGCGTATCTGCTGTTGTGTTGAGCAGCGATGCCAAAACCGAACCCAACCTATGCCCTAGAACCCTTTCACTTCGCCCAGGGTCAGTATGGAAGGAAGCTGCCGAAAGAAGGAGCCCGGGCCAATAAGTTATGGGCTCTGCATTGAGACGAGGGAAACTCTCCACCCCCCTCCCAACCCGGCATCCGCGTGACTTGCGCAAAAAAATTTCCATCACTTGCGCAAAGATTTGCCGCCTGACATGTGCAAACACGGGTGTCGAATCCATTGTAAAAACCATAGGAAAATGCACTTGCCAAGTTGGCGGACATGGAAGAAACGTGCGAAGAAAAGTGTCGAATCCATTGTAAAAACCATAGGAAAATCCACTTGCCAAGTTTGCGGAATTGGACGACTTTTGCGCACCAAAGTGTCGAATCCATTGTAAAAACCATAGGAAAGTGCACTTGCCAAGTTGACAAGAGCTGGCCGAAAAATGCGTTTTCAGCTGTTTTCGGAAACATCTCAGAACCATCGAAAATGCACTTTTGGAAGCTCGAAAAGCATGTTTTCGTTGGTTTCCGGAGAAGCGTTTTCAGAGCACGCTTCAGCGGTTCGCGGGGTGGGAGGGGGGGGTGGGGGGGTGGGGCGGGGGCGAATAACGTCCGTGTTTGACGTGTGAAGCAAGAGCACTCTCAGTGGAACCATTGAAAACACACTTTTGGAGGCTCGAACAGCACGTTTTGGTTGGTGGGGGGTGGGGGGGGGGGTGGGGGGGTGTGGGGGTGGGGCGGGGGCTAATAACGTCCGTGTTTGATGCGTGCAGCAAGAGCAGTCTCATTGGAACCATTGAAAACGCACTTTGGGAGGCTCGAAAAGCACGTTTTGGTTGGTCCTGCGGGGTGGGAGGGGTGGGGTGGGGGGGGGGCTTGGTTTTCGTCGACAGCACACTGCAACCCACGCATACTGTACATGAGTTTAGAACTAAGAAGCAAGAGGGAAAATAAGCGACGCAACCGCTGCTTTCGCCCGGATGGCTCGCTCGTGCATGGTCCCGCATCAAGAAGCTCTGCTTGGCCTGGCTAGTAGCCGAAACCTCGCGTTTGCCACACGTCAATAATACCTCCCGCCGCCGCGCACCAACTCTGAAGAGACCTCCAAAATGTAATTTTGCAGCCTCCAAAAGCGCGTTTTGGATCATTTGCAACGAAAGACGCTCGGAGCCAAGGAGGCTTCCTCGGCAGAGTTCTGCAGCTTCTCTCTGCTTGAAAACCATTGAAAACACATTTTTCCAGCCTGCAAAAGCACGTTTCCAATGGTTTTGAAGAAAAGAACACCAACAGAAGCCTGGGAGACACATTGCCACCACTGCGGAGCTGTCTTTCTGTCGTCTGGCCGCGCGACTGTTCCGGAAAAACATTGAAAATGTGCTTTTGCAGCCTCCAAAAGCACGTTTTCGAGGGTTTCGGACAACGGAACACCTACGGAACCCTAGGAAACGAACTGCAGGCGATACGAATACACATACAGCACACGCGCTGTTTCAACGATCCGCCACCAACAAACATAGTTTTGAGTGCATGCGCCATGCAGCAAAAACACCGACCCTGCCGACGTTTTCAAGTCAATCACTTGCCTTCAAGCACTTGAACAGACGCGCAAAGCACCGATGCGGCGAAGCCAAATCCTCTGGCCCTGCCAGCACTTTCACAACTTCGCAACCAAAAAGCGCGATTTCAAGCATACACACCGAGAGCCGGAAACCACGGCCCTGCCGACGTTTCATGCACTTTTCAAGCTTCCAAACACCCCCAAATCACAAGTAACAAAGTGCGAATTCATTGGCCCTGCCGATACAAAACGCACCTCCGCGCGTACAAGTCACGAGGCAACTCTTTGCACAAGTTACGAGGCAAATCTTTGCACAAGTCACAGCTCTGCCCCCAACCCCAACCTGCGCTGTTCGGTTCGTGCTTTTTTTGTCGTCCTTTTCCTCCTCGCCGAGGGTGGGTTCGTTGTCAGGTCTTACGGTTTGGGATTTGGGATGTTTTGGGGTTGCTGGCTTGGTGGGAACGAGATGTGGGCCTTAACAGTGACACTCGAGTACGACTGTAGTCTGTTGCGGGATTCACCATTTCGTGGGTCTTTCCTCTGCTGCTCTTGGGTCGAGGACAAGTTCTGTTCTCCACAAGGATGCCAAAAAAACTTTGTCCCTCGGGTTCACATGCACATATTGTATACATATACAAGCGATCATGCAATTCATGGCATACAAACGTACAAACAGACCGACAAACAGACAGACTCACGGACAGGCTTCCGATTGACATATAAAGGATTGTAACAAAAAATGTACATACACGCAGATACAGGCATGTCCACAATACGACGATGCCCTTCGAAGCCGATTTCCTTGCTCGTCAGCCTTCTGCGCTCGTCAGCCTTCTGCCTTCCGCTGTTCGGAGGCCGTCGATGAGAATCCCCGTGAGATCGATGGAGACTCCACTTGTGAAGTTGGCGTGGGCTCCCACAACCGACCATTCTTGGAGCCAAGCCGGGATCTTGTCTGTGCCGTAGACATGGGCTGTGTCAATTCCTAAGGCTATGGTCTTGGGGCCCAGCTTTCTCGCCATGCTTATAGGAATCTGTGGTCCTCACGGTGAGCACCAGGTTGGTGGGGTTCAACACCGCGATGCCAGTTTGGACGGGTGCTATCAAATGGGCCGTGGTCATGCTGGTAATCTCCGTGAAGAATGCTTGGACTCTCTCCACAGCCTTTCTCAAGAAAGACTCCTGCGCCTCGCTCCTTCATGGGCTGATCGACGGTATCGTTGGTGCTCGCCTGCTCCTTGGCCAAGCACTGCGTGTTCTCCTCGAAGTGAAAGGCTCGCTGGAAGTTGCGGACATGTACCTCCAAATCTTGGGCCAAAGCTTCAAAGCTCAGGCCAACGGCCGCGGAGCTCAACTTGTCTCCTTTCATTCAGGGCTGCTCAGCAACCTTCAAGTTGAAACCGAACTCGTGCGTCGAGTCCCCCGTGTGCTTCGGGCAGAGGTATCTGTTTGCACAGCCGCTGTACGTGTAGCCGATACCCTTCAGGAAAGTCACCGTCGGCATGGTGATGTAACCCTTTGAAGCTGAAGGAGGAGCTTGTGGTTGCGTCGTTGCTATTGACCACCCTGCCGTCGGAATTCACGATGCCCTTGAAGGCCTAGGACCAGGGCCCCGAGACTTTCAGGAAATCGCTGGGATCTACGACGCAGGACACGAAGGTTGTAGCTTTTGCATTGTCCGCCTGAGGCGCGTCCCTGTCCACTTGGTATTGACTTTCACGCCACTGAGCCGGTGATTCTCCTTACTTGCCCGGACTTCATCCAACAGAGCCCGCATGGTACCTCCAATGTTCAGCCTCAGAAGCGGGCTGACAACGGTGGCAGTGGCGCACTTGATGGTAGCTGTTTCAAGCGCAAGAAGCTGTGCCCTGTCCGTTGCGCTGACTTCCTCACGACTCGTGTGGCCTTTGCCTCTGCGAAACTCTGACACATAGGCACTGGCCGGCATCCCTTCGTCTCCCATCGTTTGCTTACAGGCATCCTCCACCTCTGCCCAAGTCGTTGCCTGGTATTGCTCGTCAATCTCTTCGTTCGTTGGCACGGGTGGGCGGCCATCTGTTGAGGATTTGCCCAAGTCATTCCAGAAAATTTTCAGCCACGTACCAGCTTCCTGCCGAACACGCTCCTCGATGAAACTATCGATGTACTTGAGCACCTCTGCTGCCTTTCCATCTGCTAAGGCTCCGAGAAGCCTATCAAAAATCCGCGGCACCACCGCGTAGACGTGCGGCGGAATCTTGAACGTCCTAGTGCTCTTGATGTTATTTTTCCGTGAGTGTGTCCTTGTAATTGCCTGTGATCGTTACCTCCACATTCTTGATTTTGGCATAGTTGGGGTCCACTTCTGCGAGGGCATGAAGGACCCGGCACATACGCTGGGCAGGCAACCCGTCAGAGACAAATTCCTCGCTTGGGTGAAACTCGCCGCTCGGATATCTTATGATAATCCTCCCCAAGCTGTCTCTCAAATTGCCCTGCTCGTCCATCTTTAGCCTCTGAGCGGCGGGTAACAGAAGAAAGGTTCATTCTTCAAGAAACCATAGGGGCACTGCTCAAAAGACAAACCTTCTGCTTTGAACCGGACGCCTGCCTCCTTTGTACAGCTCTCAGTGATGAACATCTCATTGCCATTAAGAAGCTTCGACTGATTGCCTTTGCCAGCTGAAATAGGTGGAGTGAGACTAGTTCTTCGGGGGTTTTGTCCAGGTGCGAGGGCCTCTCCCACGTCAGCAACATGTTGCAGGACCACATCTGTAGGTAGATGAGCTCCGAGTTCTCCAGCGCGAATTCTGCCCACAGGTACTCCTTCGAAAGGAACTGGCTCTCCCCGTAGGTCGCCTGCAAAGCCATCTCCAACTCCTTCTTCTCCGTCTCCCCCTGAGGAGTGTCAGGCTGCCAAGATTGCTCAAACTTTTCATCAAAATTGCGCCGAAGCCGGTAGCCGGTAGCGATCAGGTCGACGAAGCCAGGCACGTTGGGGCTGTCGATGCTCAGGCTGCCATCTGCAATGAACCGAAAATGACCCAGCCAAGGAATGTTCAAATTTACGGCGCCGCCGAGAACGAGTTTCACACTCTTGGGGCTCCGCACGACTTCCCCAAATTTGTCTTTCATCTCGTTATGGCACCAGACCAGGAGAATTGAAAAGAAGCGAAGCCCCGATAGCTGAGCGACACCACTCCATACTGAAGTGCCGGGATCTTCACTTCCCCACAGAGGCCCATGTTGTGGGAAAGATACTCCAGGAACGGCCTGGGAACTCGCGACGGATCTGATGCCTTGTCACCGTGAAGGAAGCTTGCGAAAGTGTAGTCAACCTTGTCGCCTCCATCCCTTCAACCATCACATGCTGGGCAATCTCACGGCCGAGCACGTCGAGAGCCTGCAATTGGCTCACATCCTCGCTGACGCGCACTGCGCGAGCTGCACAGCAGCAGCAGCCCCAGCCGTGCGCACTGCTGAGCAGAAGCCATTATTAAAACATGGAAACAAACTGTAATTGAAGGACGAACGCAGCTTTGGGAGCCAGCTGGTGACTGCGCACGGGGGCCTTTGCAGAGCTGCTATGAGGCAATTGAGCATTCTGTTGAACTCTAAGCGTTTGATGAAGCACCTTACCGACCTCCATGCACTAACGTGTGAACCGCATTAACCTGTCCATCGTTACCCCCGGCTGCATGAGCTCATTTCCACGCCTCTTCAGGTATGACGAGGGGACGGCCATGGGCAGAAGTGCTCCGTGGATTCTTATTCAAGAGGTACGGGCTGAGGGGGCTGCTGTTGTTTGAATCAGTGGTTGCTCTGAAGTCTGCGGGCAGGAATCGGAGGCAGCTGGCAACCACTACAGGTTGTTTGAAGAAGCACATCGCTTTGAAAGATCACGGCTCTCCGCTCTCATTCATGCAGACGAAGTCTACAAGGGGACCTTCACGTAAAATGAGTGTGCAGATTCGCGCATGCGCACCGACATGCAAGCTCAACCCACACTTCTTGTCGAGTGCTCTTTTCCGCCCCTGACTGGAAAGCCAATGGCACTCATGCCCAATGTCAAGGGAATGCTGAAGGTAGTTTCGGGGGCGCCACGCAAGCTGTCACCGAAGGCTAGGGAGGCCATCGGGCTTTCCAAGTCCAAGGATGGAGCGGCGGAAGGCATGGACAGGGCTGACGCGGTCGGCTGTGGCAGCCGCGTCAGTGATGGCGCAGGCACGTCCACCTGAGCCCGTGGTGGGAATCTAAAATCTCTCAACTCAACTAGCAGGTCCCGCCTCACGGTCCAAGCAGTGCTCCAGTGACATCGTCGGTCCATGTGCTGGCTCGCGTCCAGCACCACCGTCAGCCAAGACATCAAACAGTCCAAGGCATCGCCGCTTCTGTGCGTTTCTTGGTTGAACGGAGCGCATGAAACTTCTGGTGTTCCGTGTGCAAGAAAGTTACTGTCGGCGGTTGAGGGCTAGATAGTCTAAATCTGCAGCTTGCAAGTCGAGGCATTCAGGTCATGCTCAATTCAATACACGCTGGGCTCACTGTCCAACCCCCATACCTTGATTACCGGTATCCTTCCACCGAGCGGCAGCACGCTGCAAAGACCTTCCAGAAGGTGCTTCTCCTGCCCCACACGGCAAGCATAATGTCCATATTGGATTGATGCATCTGATAAATCCCTGACACGAACTTTTCGGCCCGATTTGGGCGATCCCCAACTAGGAAGACTGCAGGCCGTCCGGATGCCACAACAGCAAACGGTGTCCTACTTAATTTTATGCAGCCCTTCTGTGGCGGTGTTTTCTGGCTCGCTGCTCAGCAAGCCCGGCCCTCCCTTCTCCCCTTCTCCCCTTACCTAGCGGCATGACCACCTCACACGGAAGACATCCAAAGGCCGACGCGAGGGCAGGGGCAGCCGGATAAGGCGAAGTCAGCACCGCGACAAATTTCTGCGGCTGCCGGAGCATTTGCGTCGGGCGCGACGGCGCTATTGTGAGGTCGTCTGCTACCAAGTACCGATCAGGAGGTAATCCGGGCTTTGATGAATAGACCACCCTCCCCCTGACCATCGCCAACTACCTCAGCACCATCCTTCGATGTCTCACTGCGCACTACCACCACGGGATCTCCTGCATGCCCCCCCACCAGTTCATCCGCATCGCAGCAAGACTCCAAGATCCCGAGCCCTTGCACTCCAAACCCTCAAACCATCTCAAACCCCAGGCCCTAAAGCCCCTCCCCTGCCAAAGACCCAAGAAGACCCACCCCCAAAACCGAAAGTGCGGAGCTGGGCCGCTGCGCCTGGGCCTCGGCTTCCTTGGGCAACGCCTCGAGCTGGCGCTTCAAAGTCTCCTGCGGGGAGCGGACGAGCTGAGCCTTGGGCTCCGAAGTTCTCTGAAGTCCGCTGGGTCAAAGAGAGAGAGTTTGGAAGTTTTTCGGTTCAGACATCGCGAGGGAGGGTGCATGCTGTGGCTTGCCATTGCTCCGGGGGAACTCACTCTGCGGTGCTTCGTTGTGGCAGCGCTTCTCCTGCTTCTCTTGCAGAGCGGACTGCCGGCTTTTGGCAAGACCTCCCAATCACTCCCGGAACTGCAACAAGAGCTTCCCACTGCTCGCACGGCACGCGCCCTACTGACCAGACATGAAGGACAGATCCGTCCGCACGGGAACAAATAGGAATGCACTCTACAAAAGTCAGAGCGGGATGGGCCAGAGGCTCTGCTGCACTGCTGTGTGTCGACTTCTACCGTTTGCCAACTGCCATCCACGCGGCGCTGTTGTTCCCGGGCCTCTGCCTGCACAGAAGAAGGCACACTTGACTCATCTCGACTCACTTGACAAGGAGCTTGGAGCCTGGCTCAGTGCCGATGGGCCGCATGGACATCTAACATCGATTAAGCATCAGCCCTCGATCCTCGCAGCGCCTGTAGATCTCTGACGCCCCTGCAGAGGCCACCCAAGGCCGCTAGCAGCGGCACAGTGTGGAAGCGGGCGGCCTGCACGGCCGCAACGGGGCCTTCCTCACAGCTGGAGTGGAGGAGTGCTTGGCCGCAATACGCCGCAGAAAGGCAGCGCGCGCGCCTTGTAAACGAAGCGGACCGTCAGCTCCAGCTCCAGGGGCTCGGGCTCCGCGGAGGCCGCGCCGGGAGGAGCCTCGTGGCCGAGCCCGGGCCCGGCGGTTGCGCTCCTCCCCCCCCCTTCTTTGCAAGCGGCGGGGCCCTCGCGGCCCTCGAAGTCTGTTGCCCACGGTAGCACAGAGGTCGCGCGCCTCGACCAGTTTCCAGGAAGCCTCTGCGCGAGGGCCCAGAACACTCGAAGTGGAGGTGCCTGGCGAAGACTCTGCCCGAAGAAGTCCCAAGAAGATTTGCTGCCGGCAGTCCTGAAGCCTGCGGAGATGTCAATGCTGATCGAAGGAGTCGCAAGTTCACTGGGTCCCGCCAACCTTGTGGGCCACAGATAGCAACTCATGGAACCACTGGGCTCGGCAAAGCCAGCGACCAGTTCCGGGAAGCACAGTGGGGGGCAGCTGCCAAAATCAACCACGGCTAACACGACAGATCCAATCCAGCTTAAGTTATGAAGACTTCCGAGAACAACTTGAGTCCGTCCCCAATCATCTAGCCCAGAAAGCAAATCGATTCTCTGGAAATCTAACCACTTCGGCTGTGCCGTGCGGCTCTCCCCAAGCGGCCCGGCGAGATGCCGGCGGCACAGCGGGCCACGCCAGCAGTGTGAGCCGTCCTCGGATGTTGATTGCCCTAGATGCAAGAAAACCGGAACCCACCCGGAAATTGCTCCATACCCTTGCCCCTTGCGCCCTGCGTCGAAGATCACCAACCGGCAGATCTCCTTCTCGGCCTCGGCGGTTTCCGACTCGGCGCTCCCGAACGTGTTGGCCTCCCAAGCCTTGCGAGCCACGAGAGACTTGCGAGCCGTTGCTGCACGAAAGAATCTTGCACTCAGATTTGGGCCAAAGCTAGCATTCGATGACACAGAATCAAAACACCGTGCGTCCAGGTTGCACACTGCACGAAGAGCGGGGCGCTGGCTCCAAGGGCGTCAGTGAATTCAACCAAGGCTGGCCCGGCCATGGCCGGGCACAGCTCCCCCATTCAACGATTCTACCACACCGTCAAGTTGCGGACTGACAGCCCAGTGTTGTGGTCTTGTCCTCACACTTCCCTACACTCCGTGCACTCTTGCACAACGTAAAGCTAGAGCAGCTATTGCAGAGGAAGCCTTGATTTGAAGCCGCCGCAGTACATGAAAACATACCATTGGGGACACCGGAAACAACCCCATTGAGTTCATAACAGCAGCTGGCATGAGAACTGCACAGTTGCTATAACCACCGAAACACTCATCAGCATAAACCCATGTAAGGCGGTGAGATCGCCTGCTTTGCCCATTTCTCTGAGAAAGAAACTCCAGCACTCGAACTCGAGCAGAGGCAGCTTGAAGGAATACTGTCCAATTCAAAGCTGAGCACATGTCAATGACCCAAGCTTTTTGTCGGTGAGCTTGGTCAATTCAGCAGCTCATCCTCGCCCGTGCCATGCTGATTGGCAAACTGCTGCCACACCATCTGGGCAGAGGCGACTTCGGACGCTGGAGCCGACAGCCCCTACTAGTACAGCCAGGAACTCCTGGAGCCAAGGTACGGCGAAGGGATACGAGCGGTGTGCTGACCTTCTGAGGCAACTCCCGAAAAACAGTGGCTTCAGAACTCTCTGACCTCTGACCTCTGGGCTCTTGGGGCCGGTGACCCCCTGCGCAGCAGCTGGAAGAAAGCCCCCGAAACCCTCTGTTTGGTCATGCTTCGGCCAGTTTGTTCGGGCCAGGTCCAGAGCTGGAAGTAGGAACTCGGATGAAACTCAAAACCCGTCTTTGAACTCATGGAAAGTCTCCAATTCGAGTTCGATTTGCCAGGCTGGATTGCCCCGTAGCGGCTAAGCGCCCCGTCAGCTGTCGCTTTGCAGCCTTCTGGAAAAACGATCCCCAGAGAAGCGACACCCTTGAAGCGCTCTGAATCGCTTCAAGTTCCACCTCTCTCAGAGTTCATCGATCACCTCCGTCAGAAGCTGGAAAAGGCGAAGAGGAGCCGTTTTTCAAGAAAGCCGGGAGCCTTGATGGGCACCTCGCGCACGTCCTCTTGCTCCAGCTTGCACCGGAGCACCTGCACAGATCTGTAGGGGTCCACCTTGAAAAGAAAGGCCCCCCCCCCCCCCCGCCTGTCCGCCATCCTTGGCAGCGCCGCCGAGCCTGGCGTGTGCACAGGGCTCACAAGCCTCACGGCCCTCGCGGATTCGTCGTCCCTTCGACTCGAACCGGGCCATGGCACTTGCAGGACTCTTTGGACACCTCGACGGGGAGCTTCACCTCTGACCAATTCTGACCATCATGCTCATGCTCGGACTTTGGGCCCGAGAAGAGGGGGTCGGCTGAGGCTCAAGATGGTCAGGACTGGAACTGGCCTTCCCAATCGGAGTCTTCTCCTGACTGCAAGATCAGGTTCACGCAAGCCGAGCTTTGATATCTACAAGCGAAGATGCCGTCCTGCTCGGTCTCGGAAGACTGCTCAGCAGGCGGTTCAGTACCTGGCAAGAGCTTCACTCCACCAAGCCGAGGTCCTGTCAGAGCCTCAATCTAAGCCCTCCTTGCTGTGGTCGGATTGTCTGCATGTCCGGAGGGTGTTCTGCAAAGTAGGCATGGCACCTGTGGCGTTGAAGAGGAGGACCTGCAAACAACTCCGCTGCAACATCGCGAAGAGGGAGCGGGATCGCGAAGCTGTGCCATACTTCCCCCCTTCCTCACAGGAGTTTTACCCGCTAGTCAACCGCACACCGGAAGTCGACCCAAGAACTTGGAAAACCTAGCATTCCACAATTGCACACCACACGCGAGATAGCCGACTCTGTATTCCGAACCTACGCATCCCCAACGTTTGCGCTGTGAAAACCATTGGTTTGATGACGTGGCCATTGGTTTGATGACGGTGGACAAGAAGTTTCACTGGCGCACACCGAGCGGCACATGGTTGATAACATCTGTCATAATGGAGGCAATTTGTTCAAGAACATCGGGGCTGCGGACGGCTATGATGACTTGAGGAAAACGTGCCGTTTCCCCTGTAGACACTCGATCAGAAGCGCCCGCTCAATGCATGCAGCAGTAGAATCACAGCACTTCAAAACCAGCCATTCCCCAACTAAACGCTCGATTTCCGAAGCACCTGCTCAAGACATGCATCAGTGGCATCACCACGCACGACAACCGGCCGTTCCCCATGCACACGCTCGATTTCACAAGCACCCCCGAACGCGAGGGATGCACCGCCCGCTCCCTCTCCGGTTTCCAGTATTGCATCAGGTTGAACGATACCCGGTCGTAGATTTCAATATTGGGGTTAACGATACCCTCCGGTGTGATATCATGGCCCTCCGAAAACAAATCCACTCCACCACCCTCCACATTTAGGGACCCGGAAGAACACATAAGCAAAAACAAGGACAGGGATATCCCGTACAAACCCCCTTACACTGAAGCCCAACAAGGTAGGGATATCCCTATAAAATGCTTATGCTTATGTCGTTTTGGGGGTCCCAAACATTGGCAAAACAGGGACAGCACGTCACAGCCAGCGGTTCCGTATGGAGCTGAGCACAAACCCCTCGGCTGACAACCAACCCAGGTAAAACCGAGATGCCGAAAGGCCTGCGCACACCACAACAAACAACGAACAACAACAAAAGCAGCACACACGGACAATGTGTGGATGATACAAAAAGCATTGCCAAACCCTGGTGCACAGCATGTGGAGTCGACTTTCAGTAAGCGGAGTCGAGTTAGGTCAACCACCTAGTACGACTCACGCCGGCCCCTTGTCTGAACGGCCCTGCCTCCGAGCCACTGGCTGAGGCCACCGTGCCCTGCGAAGAGGGCGACACAAGAAAAGATAAGAGCACAGGCACTGCCTAACTGAACACCTGCAGTACTTGCTTGCTTACTGATTGGCGTATGTAGACATGCCAGGCTTGCCTGTGTTTGTACATGCATGCAGATCAGGGGCAAACACGCGGACTGACGGACAACTAAGGGTAAATGTGTAGATGTATGTTGCGCGCATTAAACCCGAATCCCTGGCCATGAATCCCACAGTTACAATAAGGAACCCCCAAAAATAGTATAACCCTAAATCCTAAACCCTAAACCCTAAAAGTAACCCTCGCTGGTCCTTGGGCACGACCACCTCGATGGACTGGTCGCCTGGACAGGGCCGCAGACTCCCAGCTTGGGGGCTTTGGGGTCTCCTCCTCCATAACCTGCAGAAACAGCAGCGGTTACGAAGAAGAGTACGCAGATGATGATGGGTGGCGACGATAACGATGACCATGTCATTGACTATGAAGATGGTTAACGTGTAAAGTGATGACATAAAGGAGGACGCTGCGATGATGACAATGGCGATGACGACGGTGGCGACGGTGTGTTACCAAGCTTGGGCAGGTGATGGCAATGATGGTGGTCATCGCGAGTGATGGCGACTGATGGCGAGTGACGGCGATTGTTTACTGTGAAGTCATGATGGCGCGGTATTGATCAGCCACTGCTACTACGGCACATTAATGGCATTGTGCTCATGCTGATGATGATTATGATGAGGAGGAGGAAGAAGAAGAAGAGGGGGAGCAGGAGGAGAATGAGGATGAAGATGGCGGTGACGATGTCCTGCATGATACCATACCCTCAGGATCAGGAATGCCTGACAGTTCTCCCAGTTTGAAGGCTTCTCGAGACCATGTATAGTTTATAGGTTCAGATTTTCTCTCGACTCCGCCGCTACCTTCATCAGGTCAGCAGAGCCATGTCCCTTCTCACAGCTCACAGCGCCAGAACTGGCTTGAGCTCGCTTTTGCTGCGTGAGCTTCACAGCAATCGCTACGTCAAACCCCTGCTGCCGCCTTTGGGCAGCTCAGGAGCAGCTCACGGTCCAATGCCCATCAGCTTGAGGACGCCCGTGAATGCAGCCAGCACGAGCATGCCAGGAAGCCAAATCGGCAGGCTGATAATCATGAAGGGGATCATCATGTGAAAGAAGACCATGAAGCTGAGGAAGAAGAGCCCAGCGAAAGCGTTCTCAACTTGCAACAGTCCAGATCCCTCCGATCCCTCCGCTCCCTCATCGTCCTCGGCCTGCTCGGCTTCAGCTCCCTCAAGAAATTGCTGTGCGCCGGACAGCACTTTGCCCCAATGCCTTGCTGCAGCCTGCTGTCATGGGTGAAGGTTGGCATGCCGGCTCTGAGCTTAGCGCTGCTTCGACATCCTTCGTCGTCTCGGCGAGCACTTCCGTCGGAATGCCTGGGAAACAACGGATCAAGAAGTCCTTGATCTGGCTGGGGTCAAACATCGCGTTTTCTTTTGGAGATCTCATCGATATACTCCACGAAAGACCGGAGAGAAACCGATTTACTGTGGCTCCTCAGAAGGCCGTTCCTGTTCCAAGCCTCATTGATTGTCAATGCCGCTTGTGACACACTTGCCTTGGCGGCCTGCATCTCACGCCTGAAGCGAGGCATATCCCCTGGCTCCAAAAGAACCTGAGCATAGACATTCAAGTCCTTCAAGGCCACAGTGAGCTTCGAGAACTGGATGACACCCCGAGTGGCCCTAGTGCTGCTATTGAAGGCCTGGGCCTTCGCCAGCAACCTTTGGCGACCTTGGCAGCACCATCCGCCTGGTCCACGTCGCTCTTCAGGGCACAACTGAAACGGCCCCGGCTTTGGCACACCTGGCTTGGCCCACATCCGAGGACGTACATGGACCTGGAGCAAAAGCCGGCCTGCTCTTGATGCTCGTCAGCTTCATAATATGCCGCAGAGGCCGTTGCTGCTGGGGAGGTGGGCCCCGGCACTTCGGGGTTGCTGACACGCCAGGCATGCACGGCAACGAGATTCAAGAAGGCCAGCAAGCAAGCCTTCAATCGCAAGGACATGCTTCGGAGGTGGATGTGTTTGCAAGCCACGGAGTAGGAGATGACATGCAAAGCAAAGCTCAGCTTGAGCCAGCGCCAGCATCCCCCAGGCAAGGATATGCCACAAAGTCAGTTCTCGTCTGTGCTACTTCAGACAGCAACACAAGACCTGATGTTCCAAGGAGAGATCGAAGCCAAGTCAGTTCTGCAAGACGTGGTTCATGTGTGCTTCCTGCGCATCGCTATGATGCACAATCTGTTGCATTGCACGGGCTGCCTTCATTTTCGCCCGTCAGCTTCCAATAGGGCTGACCTCGGCTCCACATGCTCCAGCCCATTGCTACCCAAACACATCGGAGTTTCAGAAAATTGCGGGGACCCTAATGCCGAGACTGCAGGATTTAGACACAGCTGCGAACGCACCGCGAGGGGACCTGCAGCAGCCGGTGCGGCAGACGCACTCGCCACTGACGTGGTTGCCTGCAGTAGCGTGCTTGGCAACCCTCATCTCAAAACACCGTGGTAGCGACGTCGAGACCCGACCCTAAACTCCCAGCCTCGGCGGCTTCCTGGATGTCTCCTGGCAGGGCCTCGGTGGCGTTGTTAGCCACAGGCCTTGGTAAGAAAAAACAAAAAAATCAGAGCTTGCGCAACAGCCGTGCTCGTCCAGGTTCCCAGCGCCACCTGGGACTCCTCGGATGTGGTGGCTGCACCAATCTTGTAGACCTCCCACTTTTCTGCGAAAGAAACCCTTCCCAAATTGCAAAGTGCTGAGGCGAAGCCGGTTCCTGATCCTTTTCTCTATCTAGCTGAATCTAGCTTCGATCGGACCCTTCCTGTTGCCTGCGTGCTGTCCCAGTACCTACAAGCATAGCCTGCGAGAAACCAAGCCTTGCCCCGAAGCTTATGATGCTTTTGTGCTGGCCGTTGCTCTTGGTGCTTCTAGGCCCCCCCCCCCTGTTCCGGCCGCAAAGCGCTTCTCGCCATCTGCACACGCGTGGTTGCTGAAGCCTCGGGAAGCCTGCGAGTCAGTGCCGGAAACTCCACTTTGCTCTTGTCTCCCAGGAAAGATCCCTGCGAGCCTCGTTGGCGCAGCCGCACCACCTCTCTTCGTCGTCCTGCACCAGTCGTAGCTTTGAGAGCTGAAGACTTGGGAACTGCATGCCGTTACGAAGCATGAACCAACGAAGAGCACCACTTGCTTCCTGACAGGGCGAACCGCAGCCGTCATAGACGCCCCACTGAGGCACCTGGCTTACATTCATGCACTGGCTTGCCCCATGACCCGGCATCAAGGGGAAAAGGTCAAACGAGTTCAGGGCCTTCGTAGACCCAAAAGAGCATAGGGCATAGGGAGAAAGCAGCGGCTGACTGAGGCCTCCTTCTCGTGGAGGAAGCCCGCAGCAGTGAAGCCATGGCCCAGGGGCACCTGCAGGTCGGAGCTCTGCAGAGTCTCTGATGGTAAATTTCACATCAAAAGCGGTTGGAGCTTGCGCAACCCATTCTCAGGTACCGACACCGTGCCGTGCCATGGCGAAGTAAGGCACCTGCATGCTGAGCCATGCAGGTCGCGTGGACTTGATCGCCCCGAACATGCTCTCCACGCTCTGACAAGACTTTTTGCTGCGAGCACCAAACATTGCTGCGCAGGGGTGTCGTGGCACCCGGAAACCCTGAGAGCGCCGGCAGCGTGCCGCAGCCCCGAGAGCTGCTTTCGTTTTCGCTTTCGCCTTCCTGGGATTCAGGGCTGGAGGCTGCGAAAGCTCGCCGCAAGCACCTCAGGCTCAAATGGCTTGGCCTAACACCACGGGCACGAGACCACAAGTGGTCCCAGAAGTCTGCCCGGCAAGAATTAACAGTCGGAAGTCGGGATCGCTCGCAATTCGGCTCCCAAAGCTGACGAGACCCGTCTCCGTGTGCAGAATGGCTGTCCTCTACGACAACCATCTCTAAGCGGTGTTCGTGAGACTTCAAACGTGAAACCATTCGCGCTCAGCTTGTGTCGCTCATGCACCGTTCAAACAAGCGGCGCACAAGCCGCAAGCGAGCTCGTTTTCGAAATTGCGACAGCTGCCGCTGTCCGAATCTCGGGCGATGCGACAAGCACAGCAATGAGTTTGGAGGCACACGGCCCGAGACTCGCAGACTTGGTCCTCACTGAGTCATCTGAGCGCGCTCACAGCACATTCGAATGTAGGAGGCCCACCTCAGCTTGAAGGCACTTGGCAGCGGCCCTTCCGTCGGACGCTCCCCGTCCCTGGGCTTCCTCGCGTCTCTGCCGCCGCAGACTCCTCGCAGCGAAGGGAGCACCTGCAGGGCAGACGCCAGCGCTGACGCCCGTGGGCGGGCGAAATTTTCCGCCGCACGCCTTCGCCTCGGCAGTCTGAGAATCAGAAGAGTGTCCTCCACGGTGATGTCGGCCACCTTAGCTGTGGTGGAACGAAGGTTCGCAACTTTCTACAGCTTGATAAGATCTGGACACTTGAGACTTGAACCAAGTTTCAATTCAGATTCAGCCTTGGCCTTAAGTTCTTGGAGTGCCTGGCCTGGAGGAGCCGGAAGGACTCAGTCGGCTTCTCGCGGAGCCGATAGGCGTTGGAAGACTGGGAGCAACGATGGCACAGCTTAGGCGCTTAAAGGCTTCGGTGCTCAGGCCCCTCGGCTCGATCTTGGATCGACTCTTCAAACGCCGATCTCGCGCCGCTGCAGTGCCCCCCACTCACACGCAGTCGCAGGTCTACAGGTCGACGTGTCATCGCTCAACAGTCTGGAGGTACCTTGAACATCTTGAGGGACGTCGGCGTAAGCACGGCCCACCTCAAGTTGACTCGGACCCTCAGATTTTATGGCCGCAGATCTACGATGCCGTGGGAACTTACTTGAGAAGTTTGGCGGCTTTGCTCGGTAGTCTAGACATCTCGAGTTTGCAGAGTCGTAACTGCAGCTGCCACAGTGACACGTACAGAGAAGAAACTTCTCTTCACTCTTCTAATGTTCATCAACACCACAAGCATCATCATCAGCACCCTAAAGTCTGAATCGCATCCCTGGCAAACATGCACCTTCTCAATGCGCCAAGCACACAAACATGTTGCTCTGGAAACCGTGCTCAGACAATCATCATCACATCATCAACAACATCATCACCAGCAACATCATCACCATCACCATCACCATTACCACCATGATCATGATCATCATCGTCAACATCACCATGAACTCTTCTGTTGAATCGGGCGGGGAGGAGGTGGTCGTTGTAGTCCTCTCCACCATAAGTCGTCCTGCTCCTCATCTTTGTCTTCCGACCTCCGTATCCTCATCCTCTTCTTCGTCCTCGTCTTCTGCGTCGTCGTGATGCTTCGTGGTCTGTGTCACCATCGTCCTACTCCTCGTTGCAGCAGCGAAAGTTGTGGATGTGTGCACGATGTCAAACAAAATCGCCAAAACCATGAGTACCAGGTGGCTGTGAGTAGGAACATTGAGCGAGATACTTGACTGGACCCGGTTTCTGGGCGCTGTGCCGCACCCGCCAAGCCCCGAGGTACTTGGAGCGCTTCGTGAGGACCCCGGCGTGCACCACCTGTTCATGTCCCAAGGCACTGCTATTCGCATGCAATGGCGTGTGGCATAACATGGCACCTTGCGTTGTCTTCTGAACCATTGTATGTCACAATTGGCTTCGTAAAACTTCTTGATCTGACACATTCACCGAGCATCCGGTGCAATGCGTAGCTATTGCTGTATGATAGCCAAGTAGGTGGAAGAACAGATTGATGTTCCATCGTACGAGTACGTTATATGACCTGTCATGTAACAATTTGTAGCACAAACCCAGACCGTGAGTTCTACGCACCGGGGAATGCTTTCTTCTTCGGCGTTCGGCATTCTGGGAATCTCATTTGCAATCTTGGCTGCAGCCGGACCTCCCGCCTCTAGCTGAACAGCCTGCCTCGCTTTTTATCAGTTTCGCATTCTTGCGCGGTACTTTCGTGCGCTCTTGCACTAACACCACCCGGCCTGCACCAGACGATGCGTGAGTGTGACAGGAAGGAGGGGTTTAGGGTTCAAGGCTGTTCCGTTCTGCTTTCACATTGTCATCTCTTATCTCCGTCCTCTGCTCGGTTGCTTGTTGTTGCACCCTTCGTGAAACCTACACGGGAGATCTCGAAATAAGTTTACGGCTTATCACTGCGACCGTCGAGGTTGGGGAGCTGCTCGCCATGCATCCAAAACTGAAGGTGTGTGGAAAACGCTGTTACACCTATGCTTGAGATCGTCACATGACCTCTCGAGTATTATGCATCGAAGGCTCCCTTCCCACGGATTCATCTGGCCTGCTCCGCCAAATGCCTTGGGATGACGGCGCATGATTCAGCACTTCGTCTCTTGATTTGCCTAACAGTACCCCTTTCTGTCGCGTCTTGGGCTCTGCAACTCTAGTACAGCGGTGATGCGAGTCGAAGATATCGCCTGCTTCCAAGCGGCGCCAAACTTCTCGGCGTCAGCCAATCGCAGATGCGGCGGCAAGCGTTCTGGCAAAGGCCGCCTCGATGCTCCGCCTCGCAACAAGGCGGGCCCATTCGGGGAAATCCGAACCCGGGTGGGCTCAGGCTCGAAACTCCCACGGAGCCTGGGAGGAGCTGCTCCGCTGGCACTGGAATAGGGCCTGCACATGACACCAAGAAGTGAGTTGCCGGAGATGGCGTCGAGGCTCGGAGGCTAAGTCCAGAGCCCCGAAGAGGGCGCTGGTCGTCAGGTTGCCTCGCCAGGATCGTGGCAAGCCGTCCTACCCTCAAGCACCTCTGCAAAGAGATTGTATCTACGAGTGAGAGGATGGGTGGAAGTTCCCCAGCATCGAGCACTGCGCTTTCAATACCGCTTCTGCACACTAGTCACTGGGCATGCGGAGCTGACTCTCGTCTGAAATGGTTTCAATCGCACTCCAAAGAAAATCCAACGCGTGTCGGAGCCGCATTCGACCACGTCCGACTCGGAAGTATCCGAAATGAAGCTTTCGGCAACCTCCTGCAGGGACGGATCTTGGAACATGGACCGCAAGACAGCTCCTTGGGGGGCAGGGCCACTTGGCCCAGGCCGTGCCGATGACTCTTACAGTCGTACCCCTCTCACTGCCCTCTCAGCAGATAAGGTCTGCGAGATCGTGCCAGTACCATGAGTGAAGCAATGATGACACTGCGCGTCAGGACTGGAGACAGCCTGCCTCATCCAGAGATGGGGAGTGGGGCACGATTACTGCAACGCTCAATTTGAGCACTGCGGCTTAATAATCCTCAATCCCCACCGCACCGGCTTATGGCCAAACTGCACTTGGAAGTGTTACAAAGTACCTCGACCCTGGGTGTAAATTTCAAAAAATCCTTTGTTGGCCTGACAACAGTGACAACAGTGTCAAAATACCAAGTCTGCCGAATTGGAGACATGCGAGCCAGGTTGGTCCAAACCTGCTTCTGAATCGAAACACAAACCCAACACACCTCCGGAACGGTGCTGGTGCCCGCCGCAGGTAGAGGCGCGGGCAGCTGAGCACTTTCTGCAAAGGCACGGAGGATCAAAGCGAGTTGTGCGCAGGCTTGCTGCAAGGTGGACTCCTGTGGTTTCACCGTTTCTTGATTGAGGGGTACGTAAGTTGGGCTTCTCGCAAGATGCACAAGCAGGCGTCGACCGTCTTAGATGCATCTATGCCATGCAAAGCTCCAAGGGGCGGCCTCTGCGAGAGCCGAACTTCTTGAGGGCCGCATCTCAGCGTTTGGGTCGAAGGTTTCGAAGCTTCCAGGCTCAGGGTTTGGGGCTGGCATGTGGCCGGGGAGAGTTGGGCCAGCGCTGGATCCCCCATCAAAGCATGGAGCGCTCACGGAACGGTCAGAGGCACGGGCTGCGCTGGATGAGACCTCACGTAGTGTCGACATCTCTCGAACGTCGACGAAGGATGCGTTCTCTGCTCTGGGTCCGCAGCCATCTGCAAGCTGAGCCTAAGCAGAAGGACCGCCAACAAAAACCAGTCCCCGGACCTGCTGTCTGAAGTTTCGGGGGTTCCAAGAGGTCTTGGGACGTACTGGTACCACCCCACCTTCGTGCTCGCATGTTAGCACAGATGTCCTTCATCGTGAGCTCGCTGAGGCTGCGGCAAGAGGCAATGATGCCCGCCGAGGGCTTTCGCTCGCCTCGCATGCAACGAACCAGACACCCGGGGCAGGGCCCCCCCAACTCCAGCACCGAAGGAACGGACCCAAATCCGGAACCTGCGTGGGTGCATCCCCGACCACGCTGGCGGCGTTGGTTGGCGAGTCTGTCAGTGAACACAATGCAACTCCCTGTGCTCTCGCGCAGCAAGCGGCCTGAAGCCGCAGACGAGTGGCTCGCCTGCGAAGCGAAGGATCTTGGCTGACGAGAGTCCGTACAAGACAGACGAGAATTCAACAATCCGATGCAACGCTCCGCCTGCACGAGAGCATCGGAACCGTCGGATGAGCGACATGGAGCCAGCATGCCACCCGACAGACCGAAGTTAGTTGGAGCTAGAGCTGTAGACTGGTGTCAGGCCTTACCACTATCCCGATGCCCCTTCGGGCTTTTGAAAGCCGGCGCGTGAAATGCCCATGCCAACACTGTCTTAGAAGCCGCCGGTGACTACTGCAAACAATGCTGCCCGCAACACGCGCGAGCACTCGGCTACACTAGTATGACTTCAGCTGTTGTTCTAAGAACGTACAGAACTATCATGTCCAAGCCAGCTGCCCGGCGGTCCAATTCGCAGCAATCGGAGCTCGTGGCACTCAGGACACACACTGGACAAATCTTCTGCTGCGTCGAAGGCTGAGGAAGGTGCATGATCTGTCTCCGCATGCCAGTACCTCTTGCAAGGGCTGCGAGTCAAAGAGTCTAAGGTCGGGCAACCTCCACAGCCCATGCAGTCTCGAAATGTCCCGAAGCTCACATGGCGGCAAAATTTGCTGCGTTTTCCTCACCGTAGTATTTGAGCTTCACCTGACCAGGATTGGCGGGAAGAGACGCATGTGTCTCTGTCTGCTTTACTGTCCTTCAAGCCCCAGAGCCTGCTCCAGCTGTGACTCGGCGAAGCAGCCGACTAAATTCACGACTGCATCCTGACAGCACTGCAACTCTCATCGCTGCGAGCAGAGCGGCATCTGAAAGACAATGTCGGGAAACGCGGAAACGTCGCAAAGCGTGGGCCTCCGGGACTTGTCTGGCCGCCGGGAGCTGGTTCCTGACCACGGAGAGGGCACACGGCACGAGAAGAAGGAAACCAGGGAACAGCGAAGAGTTTGCTGCTGCTCCAAGTGCCTTACACATGCTTTGGCCAGCTGCTGCTGGTGAGTGCGCGTGGCTTGTGCTTCTGGGTGGTGCCCGTCCTACCGAGGGAGTTTTGCCCGGATCCTGTATCCCTTCATATCCCTTCCGCGGCAAGTGGCGCATTGATGGGGGGCAGTCGGATGCCAGCAGCTGCAGCTAATCCGCATCGCACATGCTGCCACACGTCTTAGACTTGCTCTGAGACGGCACCCATCATGCGCTGAAGCTCTGTGACACTGGCAGGGTTTGCCCGAAAGGGAGTAAGTCTCGAGGGCGCTTCGTCTGCCTTACCCTCAAGGCTCGCAGCTGAAACCCTTCGCCTCGGATGCATTTGGTCCAACTGTCCGAAGACCTGCGCAGTTGTCATAAGCTGTAGCAGCTGTAGCATCTTCAAATTCGTCCCCTACAGAGCCTACAGTGTAGCTGAACACGCGTCTGGATTCAGCTCTGGCCCCTGTAACAAGAAATTTCGACGCCGACCTGACCCAAGACATCCTCGAGACCTTGTCGCACGGGGTCTTGCAAGCCTACCTGCAAGAACTATGAAGCTTGCGATATGCAGTGCCTACACTAGGAATGTGCGGAAGAAAGCGCTTGCGCTCCATGTGCAGCCAGGCCACCCATGGGTCTTCGGGCCCGCAGAAAGCCCTGAGGCCCACCCTGTGCAAAGCGATGAAGTGTCTTGCAGGCCCCAAGAGCTGAGAGCATCCGGAACAGGCCAAGACCGCTCTTTTAACCTCATGCAAAGAGTTCGGGCTGTTTGCCGCTCTCAGCGGAGGAGTGGCAAGGACGGCAAGGAGTCGACCTCCCAGGACAGGGTTGAGGATTTAGGCGGTTTCGGGTTTAGAGTCATAGAGTCCAGGGTTCACAGTTCAGTGTTGAAGCTCAGCGCAAGCACTCGCCGAGGCATTTCACGCGGGGCCTCCCACCGGCAAAACGAAGTGACAAGTGCACCTCCATTGCAGATGGCTGCAGTCTATGGCTTCTCTAGACTGCGGCATCTCGACCATACTGAAATCGGTATAGCGTGGTTCGCGCTCAAGGCATTCTTGATTCCAACGAAATTGGCATTCCGGTGTCGAACAGCTGAGAGGCCCCCCTCACTGGTCATACAAGCAAACGTAGAAAGAAGTTGGATGTTCATCATCAATATATCAAAACAGAGAATTAGATGACGATATGGCAATACGATTATTATGTGCTGACCTCACATTGGTCTTGGTCTTACAGTCTTGCTGTCTTGCTGTCTTGCTTGCTACTTCCTGAAGAGTCAACCGTGTCTCTGGCCAGCAGCGGCCGCTGCAGGCCGCTCATGACAAGGAAAGTGGAAGGCTCTGCCTGAGAATAGGCCGCTCACGCTGCCACTGTCGCCGGAGCTGCAGCCTGCACAGAGGCGCGGCGCGGCCACACAGGACTTTGCAGCTCAGTGCATGGGGAGGTAAAGACGCCCCATAGGCTACGTCGTAGAGCTGACCCCTTGGAAGGAGTGATCCCGTGAAGAAATCTCAGCTTGTTCGAACGAATTGTCCTGGTAGCAAGGATTGTGAAATCGACGGCGAAGTATCCCTGGAGTCCCTGGCCTCCTCGGCTTCTGCTGCGGGGGCTTCCTCGACCTGATACACTGACACGGCTCGAGGTCTCTCCAACACAGGGCAGACCGGTATGATGTTCAGGACTGGAAATGATGCCCAGCCTTTCAGATGCATATGAGGACAGATCAGAGGGCTTGTCTGCATGGCATCTTGACGAGTCTTTCAATGCGGGGGTCATGCGGCCTCCGCTGGGTCTTCTACCGAAGCTGCTTCGCCTCCCAGCGTGCTCGGAGCGAGCAAGATCAACCCTTCCGGACTCCAAAAACTCGCAGCTTCAGATTGGCCCAGGCCTAGGATCAAGGCCGCATCCTTCTCGCCTGCAAAGTACAGCTTTCATGGTGACTGCATGACGCGCGAGCAACGAAGCACTGGCCTGCATCTGGGAGCACCTGACAGCATGGCGATGCAGGGACAGGATGCAGTGCACTGAGCACTTGGAGATGGAGATGCCCCAGAAGCACCAAGATCTTTCCCCGCACCATTCGACGAAATCCCAAAAGCGGCGGAGGCGCAAGCGGCACCTCCAAGCTTCCCGCTGGCACAGGGAGGGTGATCGGAGCGCCTGCCAGCGACTACTCCCCCAAACAAACCAGCACGATTCCTGGTCCTACGAAAGAAGTGCGCCGGAAATGACTTGAACAAGCCCTCGCAACATCCAGGCACACCGCAGATGCCAGCACAGGCCTGCATCCGCTTTCGGGACCGAAGCGGCCTCTGCAGCAGAAGAGCCGAGCACCGACGTCGTCCGAACTTTCCCGAAAAACAGCTGAGCTCTCGTTTTGAGCGTGGAAGGAGCGGAGCGCACCCCGGGACCGAGCCTTCGGGGCCTCCACATCCACGGCTCCACGCGGAATGAAGACTGGCGCCTGCACTGTGGGCGCTCGCGCTTCCAACATACGAGTATCTGGGACTCTGGACTCTAGCAATGACACAATGCTCGAAAAGGCCGGAAACTCTGCTGATCCAGTACCCTCGCGCTACGTACCGAGGTGGATCGTTGGCTGAATTTACCTTTGTAGCAGGATGTCTCTCACGTGGGTTTCGGGTGCAGGCGAAGCCTCCGCATTGAAGCTGCTGCCTTGTCCAAGGGCAGCCTCACAATCGCGATGCGAAGTGCAGCAGCTACACCGTGCTTTCACACGTCGACAGCTGGGCCTGGCCTTCTCCAAGTGCGCGCGGACTTCCAGCTCGCTCGGCAGGTCTCCATCCTGCGGCAGTCCAAGCATGCAAACGAAGGAGCGCACCGAGTGAAGACGAAGGAGGAATGGATAAGACTAGACTGGATACTGCTGGTTACTACTTGTAGAGGCAGTCTGCAGCGTGTGCGCCTTCTTTCCGGGCTTTTTCCTCAGAGCGAAGGACGAGTGACACGGACAGGCCTCACGTGGCAACAGCGCCCAGTCTGGGATGCAGGCGGGACCGCAGCAGCGGGTGCTGCCGACAGGCCTGTGCAGGTGCGAGCAAAAAGCAGCAGAGGCCAAGGGTGGTGCTTAGCTGCTTGTGCTTCCAGAATTTCCCGGCTAAGGAATGGATTCAGAAAACTTCCAGCGCGATTTCAGTCTCCAAAGAGCCTGGTGGCACCGCGGTTGTGCCAAAGCCAGGCGCCGCCGGGAACATCTGCGCCGCCTGCAGACTGTTGGAGATCCGGCTCGAAGCAGACTCCCAAATTGCAAGCACTCCTACCGCCGCTACCGCCCCTGCGCTCCTGCGTCTCCAGCTGAGTGAGTCGCTCCGTCAAGGCATCCAGTGCCCGCTGCTTGGCCTGGGCTCACCGGACGGAACCCCGCAAGTGCTGCGGTGAGACACCCAGACCAGGGCCAGCGCGGCGCCGGCACGCAGCATTCGGTCCACTTTGTCGATCTGTGCATCAACCTGCGGCTGCCATTCCGCTGACAGCATTGTGACAAAATCGACGAGGATGTGTGCTGCGGACTGCCCCGAGAAAAACAGAAAGAAGAACCTTTACATCACTGCCCAAGCAGAAGCAGTTGACGGCGACAGCGACGACTCCGAATATGACGAGAAACGATATCGATAAGACAAGAAGCAAAGACAACTTCTCGCAGCAAGGGGGGACAGTGCAAAATTGTGGTGGCAGCACAACCTACAGAAGATAGACCTTGACGGTCTTTAGCACCAGCTTTCCCTGCAAAACATCTTCCGGCTGCGCTGTGTGCCTGGTCGGCCTTTGGGGCCGGCTGGCTGTCCAACTTTCGGCGTGCCTCGGCTGGGGAGGGGCTGGGCCGGGGCCGGCTAGGCAGCTTTTAGGGCTTCTGCAATCTGCCTCAGAGCCCCAGCTAGAGCTCAGCTCCCGTCCTCGTCCAAAGCGTCTCGGTGATGACGCATGAGGTCCGAGTTGTGGTTGTGAGCGAGGATAGTTCGATGAAGGTCCTGAATGACACTATCTTTCTGTCTGTCTGTCCCTCAAAGCCGAAAACCCTTCCCGACTCTGCAGCATGGGGGCCTGCTTCAGGGCCTTTACCTCGGATCCCCACTTCTGCTCCAGCTGCTTGATCTTCTGACCTCGGCCGGATCTCTTCCTGTTGGCCAACGTGCTGTGTTTCAACCTGGCCGGCTTCGTGGCGCGTCCCAGCCAGGGCCGGGACTCAAAAAGGCACGGTCCACAGTCATTGCCGGATCCACTCCCGTGGCAGTGCCTGCAAGTCAGCCCAGAAGGAGAGAGAAGTCAAATGAGACTAATCCAATTCCAATCCCGACAGAAGCATCACCAGCATCCTCATCGAAAAAGCCGTCTCCCGCACCATTATCATCACGACCACCACCATCGGGACCATCAAGCGGTTGACTCACCACCACTACCACCTCTGCTGGCACGACGAACACATCCTCTCCTGCGTCCGGCCTGAACCTAGAGGTGCAAGCACACGACCACGACGGTCACACAACGAAGAAGAAGCGTATGAAGCAGTGGAAGCAGTAGCAGCAGCAGGAACAGCAGCCGTGGCGGCAGCAGCAACAGCAGTAGGACTACTAGTAGGAATGCGGGACTAGCACTCGTAGTACTAGTACTCATCCGAGTTGGGCCTCCCGAATTCAGTCGGACGCAGCGGGTGACGCGCTCCGACAGCTCGGTGATGTGTGACTGCCAGGTCAGCAAATGAGAAAACTCGGTAGGGGGAAGCTAAAGACTCGTGATAAGCTGCGCCACTGGGCGAGCATTGATGTGTATTATTGCTGAACGCAGAGGGACTTCTTTGCACACATACAGTCCTACCTAAAAGGCCTCCATCTGTGTCAACTGGCTTCTGGCGACGTTGAGCTCGTGCCTAGCAGAGCACATGTACCAAGCAAATCATCTGATTCAGGGTGGCTGCACTGCTCGCTGAGGAAGGGCTCCTTAACCAGTTGGTAGAACGATAACAGACAGATGAAGGACATGCCGAGTCTAGACCCCTTCAAGCGTGCCTGACCCGGGCTTCGGAGTCTTTTTTGGCTTGCAGAATCATCTGCTCCACCTGAACCGCAAGCAAAGCTTTGGCTTGACAAGCTCCTCAAGGCACCCGAGGCTGGAAAAGCCAGCTGAAGGCCACAGGACATCCTGAAACACTCGCAGCCGCTGGCACCTGCTGGCCGATGGCCGTTGCAACGTCGCCATGTATCGACCTCAAACAGACGAGGCATCGACTGGAAGAATACACTCGGGGCCACTAGGGCAGATGCGGCGTCCATACCTGAGCGGCTGGCATCCTCCCTACGCGGAGGCAGCCAAAGACAGAGCTCCCCTCTTGCGCCCCCCTACACGGCCCCAGTAGGTCCGTGAATGCTTGAGCCGTTCAATCGGCTACGAAAAGAAGTAGCGTGATCCTTCTTCACCAAGGTGCTGAAGATCAGAAGTGTCATCGTCATCGCCATCATAATCACCACCAGCAGAATCGAACTAGCTATCCCTGCTGCAAAACTGAAGCAGCTGCTGGACGGATGCAACATTGCATCAGCGGTCGTTGCAAAGCATGCATTCAAGATTTTCAAGAAACTGCCCCCATCCTGAAACCAGCAATCCCGTCGGCAAGAACGCTCTTGGACGTGGTCCCAACAGCTTCGCCCCGCCGCCCCGCCTGGAGGGCGCCCATGTTCCCGACGAGCAACGGCACCCCGCTCCTCTGGCCAGGGCTGAGCTGCGCAGTGGAGGGGCGCTCCCTTTACATAAAAACCGCCACCATCGGCTTCCAGCAGGACTCTCCAGTCTGAGGGCCGGGCCGCAACGCCTGAAGCGCTGGGGGCAGCATGTCCTGAGGAAAGCTGTGAGTCTTTCGCTGAAGATGAAAATTACCAGTAATGGATCACAGCAGCACTAGGACGCACTTGATGATGGCGTCGATTGTGGACCTTCACTCCTGCACCCCAAGGTGCACCTTCCAACCTAATCGACAATCAACCTGAACACCACGTGAAACGGGAAGCAACGTCAATGCAGATACCCTTCTACCCTGCCGGTTGCTTTGTGCCGCTTAGTGTCAGCACCTGCGCTTCTTCTAACCCTGCTCTAACCCCCCTAACGCAGAAAAGGTTGTGCTTTGCGGGAGGCTCTGATTGCAGCCACGGGGCATCCATCCCGGCATTCTCCTCCGGACCTTCCGACTCCTTCCCACGGATGCAGACAAGAACACTTCCAGTTCTGCCCCTTACGTGTCTTACTCTTGGCGTTGCCGCTACTCGAGAAGTTGGAATCATAACATCTCAAACTCAAACGGCCCTACAGGCCAACGTCCTCTGCCACTGTTGCATTGGTACGTGGGACGGTCACAGTCAGATTGCCGGTTCCGGAGTTGTACCTTCAATGGATTCGCAATAGCAACGGCAAGAGTGCAAGAGGAGGCAGGAGCAGAAGCAGTACCACAAGAAGAAGCACAATCACCGCGACGACAACGACAGAAGCAGCATCAACACAGAGCATCACAGACCAGGTGTCGGTACCATGCACAAGTTCCGCATTAATCGCCCAGAGTGCAGCGTCCTCCGAAACCTGCATGACACCACCATATCCGAACGCATCGAGGGCACGTGACAGACACGTGGCCCACGTCGGAGCCCTTCGGCAGCGAGAAGACGCGCTGACAGCAGGCGGAGGGCAGGGCGATGCTGCGGTGCTCCCTGCATTTCCAAGAACAGGATCCCGAGCCTGCCAGGAGCTGATGAGGGGCCCTTGCCGGTGGCGGCCGCTGATCACCAGGGACCTGGCTCGCTGAGCAGCGAGCAATGCTGCAGAGCTGAGGCATTTGTTTGTTCTCCCCACCAGTTCTCGCCTGCCGCGGATGGCTCGCACGGACAGCGGCTTCTCGCTGGACGCGCTCGCGGCACCGAACTGCAATGGGTTGGTGTTGACTGACCGCACGGAGCAGATGTGTCCTTGGGAGCCTGCGCTGGCCTCGTAGCCAGGGAGGACGGCAGAGATCACGATCTGAGTCTCGTGGTCATCGTGCACCTGTCATGCATGGCATGTTGCCAAAGCTCTGCGATGGGAGCAGTCTCTGATCCGGGCGGACCTGGAAGCTGCCCTGTGCCAGGCCGACGTGTCCTCGCCGGTACGAAAACGTGTTTTGATACTCCCGAGTCGACTCCATGACAGTGCTACAGGGTCTCCTGCATGGTGGTCGCCGAACATGTCCAGCAGGCCACCCAGCTGCATCTGCATCTGAGCCAGGGCAGCGCAAACAGTTGGCAAACACCTGCGATCGTGAGCCTGCATGGGGCGCGGCATCAGCGCCTGACTCCCTACAGAGCCGCCCGCGACCTGAAAACGATCTCGGCTCCTGCCAACTCTCTGCGGTCTCGGGCTTAGCCTGCTGTTGAAGCATCCTCTCCATGTTCTTGTGGAGGTCCTGGGCCAAACACGAAGCAATGGCGTAGAGTGGTTCGAAGCTTTGCGACACTGCACGGCTCCTCCCAAGGGTTGTGGCCCATGTGTCGTTCGACCACAATGACCTCATGCGATGGACGTGATGAACGGCTTTGGAAAGTCGCTCTGCCGCACCGACTTCTGAGCCCACGGCCGGCGACCCAGCAAAGGCCAGATGTGCACCATGAGGCAGTTCGGGCGCCTTGGGCGCTTGTACCCCATTTCATGTCTCTCATCAGCCTTCGCCAAGCCCGCCTTCTCGCTGGTCGCCGACGCCGCAGCATCAAAAGGCCAGACTGCTGCAGCCGGCCCTGGCAAAATGCCCCGGGCCTTTGGATTCTTCGGATACGACGAGACCCGAGCCTGGCGACCACAGGGCCCCCAGCCACAGCGCGTGGCTTCTCCGGGGCATGGCAGCCGACAGACCAACACGTTCGAGCGCGTGTGTACCACTAGCATACCGCGGAATGGAGAATTTCTATTCTTTCACTTCATGGCTTGGCCAAGATATTGGGGTAAGTGGGCAGTGTCGGCAAGATGTCGGAAACTCCAGGATATTTTTTGACCTCAACAGATGTTGGACTCTGCGCAACTCCCACTTCTTGCAATGCAAAGCCCCCTTTAACCCTGCTGGTCCTGGTTCTGCTGCGCAGGGTCATGTTGTGTCAACAGCATGCGAACTGAAATCGCCTGCATTTTGCCATGTCTCCTCCTTGTTTCTTGGATCCGGAATGCCACCTTGGACTCCACAACGAAATTACATGATCGGCCCTGTGGGACTGGAAGCCCTACGCTGCAAGTTGCACGAGCCGCAAGCTGGTAAAGGTGTCTGGTTTTGCAAGACCAACGTCGATGCAAGCCTTTTTCATTGAGACTCAGACGGAAGCTTTACAAGGTTTCGGTTCGAGTCACTATTTGCTGAGTGGAGCTCGGCGTTTCAGTCGTGCTTTTGATGCTACGCACGTGCTCGAAATAAATCACGCCAAAACAGGCGGTGGCTCTACGACACGGAGTCGTGCTGATGGTCAGATGTTGATGAATTTGTGGATGAGCTTCGTATGTGCCAAAGCAAAGCAGGCACTGGCTAAAATCTTTTCCCAACGATGCAAAGCTCGCTCGCACAGAGCCGTGTGGCGAAGAAGGCACGACCTGGCGCGGAACGTAATGTCATGTGATGGGGACGCCCATTGAAAGCCCTCAACCTCCACGCTATGCTCAGACGGGTCCTAACGTCTCAACACGTTTCAACCCCGTGTCTTCGCCAAAAGACGGGCCGGGCTCAGGACATTTGATCAACCGGGATCGCCAAAGGAGGGGGCGGGTCCAATACACGTGAGCAAACAGGATCGTCAAAAACGGGTGTGGGCTTAAGAATTATGTCAAACGCGAACGCAAGCCCCTTACTTGTCCAACAGTGTCTGCGCGAAACTTGCGCGCTTCGCAACGTCTGCAAAAAACTGTGCACTTTGTAGACCGGTGGAAAACAGCATTTGCGGACTTCAGCCCCCACATGCCGGCAGCAGTGTTGTGTGCAGGGCTGCTCCGAAGTGCAATCTGGATACCTTGCTTGGTGACGTTGTTGCACATGCGCCTTCCAAACCCGCAATGGCATTCGGCAATCATCCGATCCCCAGCTTTGTTACGTGTCGCCGATTTCAAAAAATGAGCTACTGTAGTCAGTGGAAAACAAGCCACAGGATCAGGGGAGTTGCTGATGAAGGGGATGCAGGTTGTGGCAAAGTTGTCGTTGAAACAAGCGATAGAAATGGGAGCGCTTCAAGCTGCAGTGGTCCCCACACTGACATCATTCATATGTCCTCTTCTCTATCTGTGAATATGTGTGAGTTTTTAACATAGAAGCAAAAGATATCTATATATATATATATATTATAACGTGTAAGGTAGATATAACTAACCGCTCTCTGAGCTTAGGCCTCACGCCAGCAGGCACCACCCCCTCGAAAGGGAGTACACCTGCTGGTGTTTTGCTTGCATTTTCCAGCAACAAAGAGCTTCTATCATCTAGCAAAAGACTACGACAATAAACATTAGACATATCAAAACAGTCGCAAAGATGCCAATCACAAATCCTCTAACCAACTGCATAGCACCCGGATTGACAACAGAAATGGCTGTTGCACTTCAGCTGAGGCTTTCACCTTAAGCCGCCACACCAAACGTGACGGCATGGCAATGAGGAATCTGCAGATGCAAGTCCTTGCTAAGCTGTGTTTGGCTTCGTGCTGTCAGACCTTCACTATCGCGGAGGTTGACAACTGTCCTGAGTATTCAACATGCAACTGCATTTTTCTGGGCACCGCGTATTCTCGCAGCTGGTGCTGTGAGCATCACAAGCAGATGTTAGTGTTCGCGCTAAGACTTAGGACTGATTGTAGGAACGGCTAAGTGAAAGTTCCATGGAAGGTCCTACATTCCGAAATTATGTTTTGGCTCTGAACTCGCGTCTTGTGCACGCCCTTGGAGATCACAACTTTAGCGTTCGAAAGAAGCCACAGAGGAGTGCTGGGAAAGCCGTGGCAAGAAAGCCCCGCTGTGTCAGAGAACCGCATGATTGCGCGAGCGATGTCGAAGCTGCTGGTCCTGTCGCTGCAGCCAGGGGCTGCATGAAGGACATGAGCCCAAAGCTCCAGCAGCTAACGAGAAGTCATTCTGCAGCTGCATAATCGCGACAGCACTGTGTGCCTGACCTTACTGCGTCGATGCGCATGCAACTGCAGCGCTCCCCTGATGCATCCACATGCCTGTGCTTTTCTTAACGATGCTGGTAACTACTGGCGGGGCAATGGCTCGGCACCTTGGTCTTGCACGATGGCCGAGGCAGGTTCTTGCGGGCAAAGCTCCGAATTCGCTTCACAAAGGCTTCGATCGCAGCGATCAGAGGGATTAATTGCTTAATTAGGGGCGAACCGTGCCCTCAGGTGACATCGTCTGGCATGCTGCAGCCGGCCCACGTGCAACTGCTATCCTGGCAGCGGCACGCAAGAAAAAGAGGTTTGGCTTCATCTCAGCACCCGTTTACGGCGGAGCCTCTGGGCGAGCAGGGGCACGATGTTAACCGCATCGTAACACCTTGTCCTGTGCACAAGCAGACATTTGAAGGTGAACTGACAAGCAGGTGGTCATGAACAACATCGCCGGCGAACCTCTTCGCAGTTGCCTTCCGATGCTTTTGGGGGCTCGCCGGTGCCCTTTCCAAGACAAATCTCGACCCCCACTTCCGTGCCGCTCTGCCGCTCCTCTCAGAGCATCGGACTCCGTTCTGGCCTCTGTGCAGGGTCCGGCGCTTCCTCTCTGCCGCAGCCCTCCCTGGCGATACATGAAGAAGCCGATTCGTCAACTGACTCCGACCCACCGGTGCACGCCGCAGCACTCTGGAACAACGGCAGGGCCGCCCAAGCCAGACCTTGCGGAGGCACATCTGAATGAAGCGGATCGGCTGCCTCCAGTTGCTGAACCTGTGGAGAGCGGCACTTTCCCATGGGTTCGAGTGGCCGGGAATTGGGCCCGGGACCGGAGGACGGACCCACCCATCCCGACATCGAACCAGTCTTGCGGGCCTCATGACAAGGCGAGGTCGCGCAATGCATGGCCAACACAAAGGCTTCGCAGTCCGAAAAGCACTGAAGGTTCAGGACGAAGAGTGGCCAAACTCCTGCAGAACGGCGCAGCTGTGGATCCGAGATCTCTGTACATTAAGAACGGGCACAGATAGATGGAGCTGATGTTTCTCTGCTTCAAGTCGCTTCGACTGTTCATCTGAGCTCATCTCACATAACGCTCGCAGCACTCTCTCGGGGCTCCCTCTTCTGCCTTGTGTCTGAGGATGTGATCTCGCCAAGTTGATGCAGCACTAGCAACCTTGCAGCCGACGTCTCCTCCTGCTGCCACGGTGCTGACCGAGTCGGGGCCCTGGGCAGTGCCTCTCAGTACCACGAAGGGATCAGGCCCCTTCGCCGTTGCGAGCGGATTCAATCACCCAGACTTCTGCTATGCTGGGCTAACTGTCTCCGAAACAAAATGTTGATAGTTCAGTTGACGTTCTGCTTCGCCAAAACGCACCGAATGTGTCTGCACCCCGAGCCTTCTTGTGCCTGGAGACTCGCGGCAGCGAAGAGTCGCACGATGGACTCATGTATGGGGCTCGGCTCGATGTAGCGGCCATTTACGTAGAGGTACATGAAGCTGTCGGTGCTTTGAGCATCTTCCAGCCTCGACACGACACCTCCCGAGGGCTTCGGCGGGAGCTTAGCAGGCCTTTGTGCCAGCCCAGTACTCTCATACACACACTGCTCAACACTGCCCGAACCGCCGATCGCCACGACACAGATTGAACAAAGACTCACTCATGCACTGGACGCATGGCTGCCTCTCCATTAGATGCCACACAAGTCTGCACACGACACAGGTCTACACACAGCTGCAGATGCTCAGGCCTTCTAAAGCGCAGCCGTCAGAGGACCACTGCACCCTGCGCTTCACGGAAGTTGGGAGCTCAGAGAGCTGATCCGATTCGGGGCACCTGCGAAGGCCACGAGTGCAGCCGTATCCCAGCCTCGGCATCAAGACACATCAAGACAAGAGAATTCTCATGGTCATTACGGCCGAACCCGGGCTATGCACATCATAGCATGCCGTAAGAACCAGGCACATGCTCTAGTCTTGCTGCAGCCTGCTCCGCGACCAGGTCCAAGCAGTGTGCCTGATGCGTGCAGTATCGTGCGGACAACGTTTCCAGAAAGTCTTGTTGCTCGTCCAGCTTCACGCAACAATCCACGACACCGCACGTGTGCACAGACACGAGAATACCAGCTCAAGCACAAACTAAAGACGAGGCACTTGCACAAGCATCTATAGAAAACTGTAGCCGCCTCTTGGCCAAGGAAGCGGAGCCGCAGCGACACCCGCGGTCGAATCAAGACCTGACGAGCCCACCACAGATCTCTTCAACGGGTCTCTTCCACCTCGAGACTCGAAAAGTCGGCCAGGCCGTTTGGACTGTGCTGCCCAAACCAATCACTCAGTTAGTCGCGCAATGGTGGAGCATTCAATAAAATCACTTTGCGCGCAAAGTAACATCCGATCAATCATCGCTTCTCTTGGCTAGTCTGTCTCTTATCGGCCATGTGGATTCCTGGGCCTAGCCTAGCGGCCGGCCTAGCTTCCCTTTCGTTGGAGACGAGCCTGGCGCTCCAAGCGACGGCGAAGCGATGAGACCTGCTCAGATGCCACAGACCTAGACCTCCCCGGTACAAGACGAGCAAGGCTGCGATCACGCCAGCCTCAACTTCCCGCCGGATCAGCCTGCCAAGGCCCTCCACCCGGATGGTGGTGCCTGGACCTGCCACTGGGCCACTGGCCAGGACATGAAGCGGCCGTGAAAAATTGGGCCTCCATGCGGGATATCGGAGGGGCCAAGATAGGTCACCTTCCCCTGCTCGAAGATCTTGCACACGGTCCCCCGTTCCGAGACCTGCAGGCTCTGCAGGGTCAGATCCCATCCGAAGCTCTGCTCGAAACCCTCGGAGATTCTCTCCTTGGAGCGCACGACCACGCGCCCGCAGCGGGCGCAGACCGCGGCCAATGAGGTCACGGGCTGCCCGCCAAGGGCCTCTGCCCCAAGCGCCTGGAAGGCTCCAAGTTTCGAGCTTCCTGGCAAAAATGGCCTTGCCTCCATGTCACGCCCAGCACCGTCATCTCGTACGGTGAGCACAGCACCCACGGAAGACTCCTGGAGCTCGACCTCGGCTGCAACTAAAAACCCAGCTACTGCGCGCATGGCTACCCCAGGACCCCAGGTCGACCTCCACTGCCGTGGCACCAGCATCCAAGGAGCCGATCAGTAGCTCCTGCCGGGCTGAGAAGCTCATGCAAGCGAAGCTCCCAGCAGCAGCCCTTGCAAGGAGTGCCATAGCTGCCCCAGGCCCCACTTTAAGAATGTCAGCTGCAAGGCATGAAGATCTGGATGGCTTCCCTGCAAATACACTTGCAACTCTAGGTGCGGAGCGACAACTACCGGCAAGATGTGGAGTTCCAGACTGGGGACGTCTGACCCACTCAAACATGGCGAAGGTGTTAAACTTCCTTGTCCTACAGCTTTCCGGGAATCCTACGTCGAGTCCGTTGGCAAAGCACTCTGCATTTGTACGTGCCGTCGCCTCTGCCATGCGCCCCGGACAAGGCACCTACCATGCGAACAAGACGATTCCAACTGTCGGCTTGCGCAATTTGCTGATATGAAGAATCGTGGAGAATCGTGCCTGGATGTCTGCACGCAACTTCCTGGGAATGGAGCGTCAAAGACAATCAATTCGCTGGGATCTCAGAAATAAGCCGTGCAAACCTTTGCACAATCCCACGCTGGAGTCTCTAAAATCTAAGCCGGGAGTCACCGCTGCCTGCGCGCTCAGCTTGCGGATTTGGGGGGCAGGATCTGCCAGCACCATGGTGGACAAGACCCTTTGTGACAAGGCTACAGGATCTTGCTTCGGAAGCTGCGATAGACCAACACTTGAAGGCCAGTGCACAGTGCAGGAGTCATATAGGCGGAGCTTCAATTCCACCTTTACGAGCACGGAAGGACGGCTCGGCAAGAAGCGCATTTGAGCATGATTCTGTTGCATTGCCATCATTACGACAACTTATCGACGCATGCACTCAACAGATCACCTTCTCGGACCTTCTCGTCAGCAAGGTGAACAGTTTGCGGTTTGGAATGTGGGGTTCCTCGTTCTGCACCCATTGGTGCCCAAGATGGTTGAGGAGAGGCGTTGGGTCTGGAGGCCTAGCCGAAGCCTTTCTGCTTTGGGATTACGGCTCAGGGTTTCACTTCTGTGCCCACATTGTGCACGCTATGCCGCTACGCGTGACGCAGCCCAAAATCCGAACCCCAAGATCTCGAAGCTGACACACTCGAAGCTGGGATCTTCGATTGCCCACTACAGCTCCAAGACTGGATCTCACGCGCAGGCGCACAGAGTATACAGACCTCAACACCGACAAATGACACAACAGCACTCCTCATCACAAACGCTAAAATGCTAGAAAAAGGCAGCGCAAACTCTGGTTGACAACCTCTCGCTGCTTTTCGACAAGTAGCTTCAAGCCTGGTGCGGGCCTGCATAGCTTCATCGCAGCCTGGCTGCGTCGGGACTTTCCGAAATCAAACCTTTCACGAAGTTCATGGCAGTCGATATCATTGTCGAGATCATCGATGTTAGGACTGCGCGGGCAAACCATCGACGAGTCAATACTTTGCCCATCACTGGAAGTTGCAGCTCGTCTCGCCTTAAGACGAGTGTCTCAAAAATCGCACGATCATTCGGTGAATGGCGAGATCTGTTCACGGCATCATCGACAGCTTCGTGGAAAGCGACGAGCGAAACAAACTGCATGAACAGAAAACCGGCTGTAAGCTGCGGATGGTTCAGACCCAGATTCAACAACAGCAATTGAAAGCAGCGAGCATCGCTGGTGTCCCGGCAGTGGAATGCTGGTCTTCTCAGCGCCAGAACTGCATCTGCTGCAAGGCTTGTAAGCAGCGACAGTCCATCCAGAACGAAGTGACACACCAAAAAGCATCCGAAGCGCCTCTGGCCAGTGTCGGAAGTCCCAAGCAAACACAAGCGGTATTGAAATTCGAGCTCAAGCTTGAACACTAAACTTCCTTACCTGTATACAGTTAGTTGAAAGCCTGCACACCAAGAAGGATCGGAGAAGAAGCCCAAGCTTAGACCACCATCAGCGCCTTTTGTGTCAAGCAACCGTGGTACCAGCAGACTATGGCTTTGGTTCTATAATTACTGAAGCAACATCCTTTGAGCAGCCCTGCCTTTTGCAGTCCTGGCAAGCTTCGAAAGCCGCTGTCAAATCGCCGACAACTTCTGCAGACTGGACAAGTTCTGCCACATGCTCCAACTCGCCCTGCAGCAACATGCATGTCGCAATATGAGGCAAAGCCACAAGCCAGGACGCGATGAGCCACATCCCGAAGTCGGTGAGTGCAGCCCACCCAATAGTTGCGATGAGTTCCCAGTGAGTGCGTTGAACAGGGTCTTCCTGCCGGGATGTCCCCCACAGAATCAGCACAGCCGCATACGCCACCACCGTCAAAAAACAGGCAGCGGCCAATATCCACCAGGTGGTCTGCTTGGTCTGGTATCCTTGGTGAACTCTCATCGGAACTGCAGCCCGCACCTGTCTGGCAAATTCCAGATGCAATAAACAAGAAATTCCATTCAGTGCGAAACTTGCTGCCATGCATGCAATGACGGTTGCTTTAGCTCGGCAGGCATTCGAGCCGTCGCACTCAAGCTCTTTTCCGATAAAGACGAGCGCGAGACTCTCGTTAGAGATGGTTGTAGCGACAACGTAGCCTGGAAAAGCGACGGACAGCACCATGCCAATTCTGTCAGCTCGGGATCGGCATGGAATGCTGAGCCAACCAGTTGCCACCATGGCCATGAGAAGCAGGACAGATTGCAGTGGCCTCTCATCATAGAACCCACCTCCGCTGAAGATGCGAACATCGAACACGGAAAGCGAAGATGACAGCTCGGGGACAAGCCTGCTAAGCTTGGGGTCGTTGCCGAATATTGGTGGGAGTGGCAACAACCTAGAAAGATATGCGAAAGCGACAGCACCGATTGCACATTGAATACACCACCGACGGCCTGCACATGCCATCATGGCCATAGCTGGTGCAAAAGGTGTTACCAATTCACACATGTGATACATCTCAACGAAGAGCTGAAGGCTCGTACCACCGCCGGCTGCCATCAGCCACCGCACAAAGAAAAGCGCAACAGAGAGTACACATGCGACGCCCCAAAACCAGATTATGGCTGGCCTTGCATCTGGATTTGTGCCAGCGGCAAACAAGATCCAAGCTTCTGTGGTGTCCAATCCATGCGTGGATTCCCGTGCACTGGCCGCTGCAATGCTGAGATGCGCGGAGATGGCCGACTGGAAAGAATCCATTCCGGGAAAAACCTGGCTGTGGTGCTGAGCCTCACAAAATCAAACTCTTATCATCGAGCCAACCAAAGTGCTTGCAAGTAACCACGACTGCGCCTGCTACTGCTGCTCCTGATCCAGTAGCTGACCTTAATACCTGCAAATGCTTTTGCTTGCTTTGAGGAGTGGCCTCTTTCCCTCCCCCTACTATAAAACCTCCCGGCCCCCGGAATTGTGCGGTTTCGGGCCCACAATTGAAATAGAAACATTAGGGAGGGCCTAGGCTTGTATTGGTTTCAATAAAGCCAAAGACTACAGCAGCACTAATCCAACCGAAAAGACCAGAGCTTTAGGGCTTAGGGGCTTAGGGCTTTAAGGCTTTTTGGATTTGGGGTGCAAGGCTTTAAGGTTGAGGGCGGGAGTGTCTGCTCTACAGCCGGAACGGCTGCGTGATGGGCAGTCTTTGTGTCTGGCTCATTCGACGCATACCCAGATGCCCCAAAACCCCCCTAATACATAAACTCCGGCCCCGAAATCCAATTTTTATATCAGGGAGGGGGGGGTTATTGCGTGAGGGTTTGGTATTGATGATTGTCTTGTGCTTGCTCACCTCACAGAGCGAATAGATATTGTTGATTGTTGCCATGACAAACGTTCAATGATACCACACACTTTCCACTCACCTCTTGGAGGCAAACTCGGACCGCTTGTCTTCTCGTCAGAGATGTCTGTGCACGATCCTCTCGGTCGATCACAGACTACTACTAGCTGCTAGCTGTTGCTAGCACGGCAGTAGGTGTATGCCTTGTAGCATAGCCCACACTTCAGCCAAAGTTGCGTTGCGCGGAGAGTATATATAGTATTGGCACTGCAACGTGGCCCGGCAAGCGGTTCCATGCACAAGCAAGATGAGACAAGGTCCGCAAGACGGTGCCTTGCTCTATGTACATGAGGATTCATGACATTGTCCTCATAGCTCTGATGGCGAAACCTACGAATTGGACTAGGCATCGAGGTCTGTTCGCACCCCCCATGAGTTGTGCCTCCGGCACTGCTCACCCGGAAGATAATCGCGATTGGACAGACAGAAAAGGTATCCGTCGCAACTTTGAAGAAGGTGGGCATAGAGCCACAATATTCCCAATTACACATGTTGTGACACTTGTCTACGTCAGTAACGATCCGCTGAAATGACACTGCAGGATCAGGCGTCACCGAAGAAAATGGCCACCCTCAATTAGCTAGCGCTACAAAAACGACCGCAATACAGACAGCCTTCACCAATTGTCCCTGGCCCAGCGACGTGTGCGTTCGGGTTCGTCATGATCCCATCGTCGAAGATTGTATTCTGGATGCTTGGATTTGCCTTTGCCCTTCCCTTTGTCATGGTAGGTGTTGGCATTTCCTGATCCACGACGATTGTCTCGACCCGCCGCTTTGGGACCTGCTTTGGGGGCAGCTGGATGTGTCACTCGTTCACGTTGTTCCGGAGTGACACGTGCGTCCATGATTGATGTCTGTCCTGCAGCCATGTAGTCGGAGGACGTAATGTGTTGTAGTGCTTGACGTTCTGTGCGGATCTGCGGGCTCCGCTCCTCATCAGCCCTGGGCCTTGCAATCTTGTCAACGAACTTTGCTGGGACCTGAATGTTGTGCTCGATGATCAGCGCGGTCGTCTGTGCGGAGTTGTCCCTTCCGTTCTTGGCCGAGCATAGTTACCCCAGTAGGGTGCGCGCTTTGCATGAAAGTACTCCGACTGTTGTTATTCGTAGATCGTGCTTGTACGTTTAATTTGATGTCGGTCTGTGATGTTACTTCTCACGTGTTTGAGCACTCAGGGATGAATGCTCCAACTGCATGCAACGCTTTGCATCAATGACTTCAATCCAGATGTCTCTTTTCACACAGTGGGGTAAACAGTACCGAACACGGCAGATCCGATCTCGAACAGTCCTGTGAGACACAAGACTCTTTTGTCACCCACTGAAGTAGAGTCGTGGTGTCACGCAGCTATGGTCGAGGCTCTTCCTACTATTGATAAAACAATCTTGGTGGCTTCCACAGATTCATTTTTAAAGCCGAGCTTCCGCACTCGGTCGAGCTTCATCCTCGATGGTTCATCAGCTAGGTTCGCAGGCGAGGCTACCCTAGCGTACCATGGCAAAATGCCATGTACGTATTCCAGAAAGTTGACCTCGTCGATGGGTATCCCTGCCACTCCTTTCTTGACGGAACCCGCAATGTACGCATGTCGCGCGGCATCGTTGTCAATATAACACATGACTCCCGTTCCAGCCGTGGTTCCTGCTTGCGAGTAAGATTCTGCAAAAGCCGCAGTTTTCTCAGCCAACAACTTCAAACCCACAAGTACACCAAACATTTCCAGCTCATAGATGATAGTCTGTTCCTCGTGGGCTGACAGCGAGTCTGCCTGCCGCTCCGAGATTGGTACACTGAAATACGATAAGGCCGAAGCAGCAACACGCCACCCAGGCCTCCGGTCCTAGTGTCCTTCTCAAAAGCGGCATCGGTCAAGATCATAAACGTTCGGCATGATACCTGGCCTACCAATCTGGGCTGTGCTGCACTGAGGAATTTTGTGAACTCCTCCATTCGTTCCTTAGCCGGCACCGTCAATTTCATCCTTCCCGACTGCGCGTGCTTCGTGATCTAATTCAAGCATCTCCTGCCTAATCTTTTAAAGAATTTTGCCTGGGCGAAATGTAACCTGCCTCTCAGCTGGAGGGCTTCCTTCTGAGTCATGACTCCAGCAGCCAGGAATCCTTTCAAGGACGAAGTGAGTTCTTTTCGTCTCTTGTCTGTGTTCCTGACCTTCAGCACACCTGAACCGGTTTGGTCAATTTCGAAGAGAACCCCTAAGGCTTCAAACCTCGTATCCCATTCCGTAGTTTTGTCCTCCGAAAGCTTCCATCCAAGAAGCCGCATAACCTCATCAAACGCGTGAGAGCAGGAACTCCTGTCTCCACTCAGTTAGACTACGAACTTTTCCACTATCCTTGAGCAACAAAAACCTTCAGGTATCTCAGAATTCGCATGTGCACGACTACAAGAGCGAAAGTAAAATGCATGATAAAATCAATGTAAAACCATGCCAACGAATACGGGAAAATCGTTCGTACCCCGCCTCAGGCTGTTCCATTGGCGAATGGGCAGACTGTTCGTGAACGATTCCCAAAGTATAAAACAACAGCTTGTACGACGTTTTAAACACGCTCCAAGTGCACATGTTCTTACTAGCGTATTGGGCTTGATTTAGCCGGCTCAAGGCTTAGCTCGAGTGCTACGCAACTACGTGTAGACTGTACACTACACTGCCTACGGAGTTGTATCCACGACCTTAAGCCGAAGACACAACTGCATGCTTGACTGGCGCAAGCGGACGCCCTCGCAAGTTGTCAAGACAAAGGGCGGATTCATGATGGATCATGCGCTCTCGCGCCCAGTCGAAAAGTCAATGACGGCCTAGTTACCGCCAACGGGTGCCAAACGCACCTCAGCAGCTGAGAGCCGCTCCACGGCTCAAGGGATTGTGGCATTGCTCAGATTGGCAGCAAAATGCTGCATATCAAGATTCAAGCGATTTCAAGCCGTCCATCGCACGTTGTCAAGCTATGTACAGGATCCACCAGCAGCCTGTCAATCAATTGTGCCGTGGCACAAAGGACTGACTATGTACATGGCATCCAATGTGCCTCATGAGCATTATAAAGCAAGATCAAGCGTACGACGCAGCATCACAAGAAACTCGGCACACCCATCAAGGTTTGCATATGCGGCACGCGCGGTAGCCGCGCTCCTCGGCAACTGCCCGCGACACCTCGGTGACGCCAAGCGACTGGTTCAGCTTGCCACATGTAGCCTTATGATAAGCATATCCTTGACTTGTCGAAATCCACACGCCGTCTGCGCTTCGGGCTTGTGGCACCCGGCGCTGCGGAATCGGGCGTGCTTTCGGAATCCTCTCGGATCTCCCACTGGCCTCGCTGTTCGATCTCAGCACATCGTTGGATGACCCTGGTCTGCCTGCATGGACCTCGTGCGCACCAGGGCTCTGGGCTCGCTCATCATCGTCCTCAATCTTCGGTCGACTCGCGGTTTTGGGCCGCGCTCCACGCACTTGCTCACCAGCCTTGGCCTTGGGCTCACTTCGGGATGTTCGGACATCAACCGCAACTCCAGACGCGATGCGCACCTGCACAGATGCTTCTGGAACATCTGTCATCCGTCGGCCACAACACATGAATGCACACATCAAGAATGCAGTGATTGCAACGCACTGGCACACCGCAACACATGTTGAAGGGTATGCTTCATACACTGCAGATGCATAGCCGACGATCTGCACCAAGGATTCAAGAATCGCATCAAGAATGGTCAAAGTCGCGTCGTCGTCTTTGGCATCATCGCCATCCTCTGCACCCAGGCTTCCAGTTGCCTGCATGGCAATCAAGATAACACTAAGGATGCGGGCGGTGTTTGCCGTGGCATCACCCTTTGCGATCTTTGACAGATCCTTGCACACATTGCGAATGGCCTGGACATTGTGTTCTGTGCTCAAGATTGCATCTCCAACCCTAGCATAACCATTTCGGGAATCTCTAAACCCAATCAGGCCAAGCAGAAACTCCGTGCGCTGCACACCAAGGAGCTTCGTGCCAATGTCCGCGACATTGGTTCGCGTGGGTGCCGGCAGCACCTCCAGCAATCCTTCCGCAACCCGTTGTTGCGTCCATAGCAACTTCACATCAAGATGGCGCACACGCCCGACCCCGGCGCGTTGAAGGATCGCGCGGGCAGCGGAATTGTCAATCATCAAGAGTGGTGGTGTCGTTGGCTCTGGAGACACAAACCGCATCATGCTTGCAACAAGGGTTCCATCTATCGCGGCTGACACCGCGGCACCAAACTCGGATTCCGCACTGGAGAGTGCGATCGACTTTTGCGTTTTGGACGCTGCATGGATAAACTTGCTGTTGCAAAGAATCACAGACGATGAGACAGAG